GTCCTACCATCAGTAAATTACGCAATTTTTTTGAGGCCTTAATTTTTTTTACGCGATTAATTATTCTTTCACAGTGAAAGTCATTTATGAACATCTGTTTAAGTACATACGTATTTCATTAGAAAAATCGGTACCTGCCTGCGGGATTTGAACATCGGGACAGTCGCATTGGTCGATACGAATGCACCGGGCGTCGTGTCCTTTGTGGCCATGAAGACTTCCGTGTACCTATAATTGATTTAATTTTGATATCTAGAACTTGAGTCGTCTAAAAGTAAAGTTAAATAAACTAAACGCGAATTTGTAAAAGTAATTATATACCAGTACTAAGTTTTGTTTTATTTATTGCGTTATATTTATTTTTACTTGGAAATATTTTGTAGTTTTTGTGCTTATTTTCCATGTAGATAGATCCGACTGTGACGTGTCCCGTTTCGGAAGATAGCAGTGTTATTAGGAAATTTAACAGGTTGTTAGACGTAAGAAGCCCTCATGGGAAAGTACCATCATCCTACATATTTCTGTCGCACAGCCGTCGTCACAATATCAAGTTTTTCACAGTATTCATTAGAAGTCACTATCACACGAATATCGAACTGTTAATGAATAGCCGGAAACTAGCATAATGCCGTCGATTTTCAGACATCAAGAGATAATAAGATACTAATTACTTTTAATTTATTTTATTGTTTTATTTTGAGTCATTATATTACTATATTTATAATTATTATTATATTTTTTATTTTATTAATTTACTTAACTCAAATGAATTTTAATTAATTATAATTTAGCACAATATTAAAGTCTATTTTTTTTAAACAGGTGACGATAATTACAAACGATGTTAGATCGGAAATAACGTCTACATTGTCTGACAACTCCGCGCGGTCATACGCGGCATCCCGACGGAATTAGATACCGAGCTCGTCAAGGCCGACCTTCTAGAACAAGGTCTGCCGGTCAATTCCGTGCACCGCATGCACACAGGATGCGGGAGGGAGCCATACAATATGATTCTCGTCACTCTTCAGGCTAGCCTTGAGGGTAAACATATCTTCAACGTCCGAACGGTCTGTATGCTTTCCAGAATAACCGTAGAAACCCTCCACAAAAAAGGCACTTCGAGCCAGTGCCATAACTGTCAACTGTCACACGCGCCCCCGATGCATCAAGTGTTTGGGCGATCACGCCACGGCCGTATGCACTCGCGATCAAAACACCGCGACGGAACCGCATAGTTGCGTCCTGTGCCAAACACAGTGTCATTCCGTGACTGATCGTGGATGCGCTCGAGCACCCAAAATTAATCGCCGCGTCGCTCGTCAAAACCGGCTCCGCGCTTCTGGTTCTGACACCAAACTCTCAGCACCCTCTGTGCCGAAGGCTAAGCTACCATCGTGCTAGCGCCGGTACCCAGAGGTTCGGCCCGGGCTAAGCCGTTGCCGTACACGAACACGGCTGCAACTCCCTCCCTAGCGATTCGTTCCTCTCCCGCCATCTGCCCTCCGACTGCGTCCGACAATTTCGCTCTAGCGATCCACTTTTCAGTCAGATCAACTTTGAGCGCGTTAACGCTTTGGGCGACGCCATCCGCGCTGCTTCCACTGCACAACATTTCAACGCCGTTGTGCAAGAATACGCCGACGTATAAGCGTCATTAATCACGTACATCCTCTCCTCACTCCGCCGGTAATCAATGGCATACATTAGTAGAATGAAGCCCCTATCCGTAACGATAGGATTTATTAACGCGTATATTCTCGCAAATCAGCGTGATCAGAATTGTGATTTTTGCGTGACCATCAAATTGTCATTATTTTAGTGCAGGAGACACGGGAGCTCTACACGGGAGCTCTCTTCTTCGACTTCAAAAGCGTTCGACAAAATTTGGCACAACAGTTTGATATTAAATCTTTTAAACATGGGCGTGCCAGTCATTTTCGTGCTCATCATATGGGACTTCTTGTCGATATCGATATCAATTACATCCCAAGAGAGTCATGGACAGGGAAACATTGTTTCAAGGCCATGACCACGACCCTCAGTAATGAGGAAACCGACGCAAGGAGGAGGTCGATATCGAGAAGAAGGAACCCGCTCCTTCCCGCGACCACTCATGGCTGGAGTCCCGCAGGGCTCCGTCCTCTCGCCGCTCTTATTTACTTTATTTATTAACGATACACCCTGGTCGTCGCCGACCCAGTAAGCCTTATTCGCTGATGACACGACCTTTTACTACTCGAGTGGAAACAACTCTCTAATCGCGAGGAAACTCCAGAGCACAGCCGTAGCCCTAAGACAGTAGTTCCGACAATGGCGCATAGACATCAACTCAGCGAAAAGCACAGCAGTGCTATTTCGAAGGAGAAACACTACACGAATTTCCTCCCAGATTAGGATGAATCTCACACCCCCGATTACCCTCTTTAGCCAACTCAAACCCTGGGTCAGGAAGGTCAAGTACCTGGGTGTATCCATGACATTCCGCCCACATATAAAATCAGTCCATATAAGACTGTGTCATATTTATCGCCTTATCGTTGCTGCCGCTGACTACTTCCCCGAATCGTGATCACGCAGGAGCCAGTCACCGTCGACGCCCTAGACACGTCTTTACGGATCTATCAGATCCAATAACCTTTGCATTAGACGCCTTCAGCTCTAACACTAGGAGCAGGCTTAGGGACCCGGTAATCGTACTCGTCGAACTAAGCAAAGAGTTCGACGTGCAACCTAACCTAAGCATCAGTCCGCTGAATTTTTCGCCGGATCTTCTCAGCGGGTCGCGATTCCATCCGGTAGTAAGTTCATTTCCGAAGAAGCTGCCCTTGAGCTATTAGGTCTCCTTTGGAGGGGCTCGGGCAGCTGTTAGCAAAACCCACCCTTTCTAGCTGAGCCTTTAATTTGCCCACCTAACCTGATGAAACTAGAGAAACCCCCGGAACACCAGTAATTCCTCATTCATAAAAAATACAACTTTTAATCAGAATGTGACTTAATGTCGAAAAAATGTTGCCTGGATCAATTACCCTTTCGAAAATAGACTTGAAAAAATAAATTATATAAGTTATTGTAAAATCCAACTTCGAAACATGATTCATCGCTTTTGTGTGTTCTAAAACAAAATTTAAAATAAAAATTAAAAATCAAAAGTAATTAAAAACATTCAATAGCTTTGTGGCGGAGCCTGTTATCCAACTTATCTGCGTTTTGTATATTTTAGGCGAGGCCATTTTGATTCCGGTTTTAAAAATCATTAACATTACAAATGCGAAAGTGAATTTGTTTATTTACGTTTTCAAATCTCTACTACTCAACCGCTCATTAGGGAGGCTCTAGAGGACTCAGGTGGAGAAGGCTTTCGCGTGAACAGTTGTTGCTCGCGAGTCAGTCGATCTCCTAAGCTCAAAGAGAGAGTTCAGAGAGATCTTAAGTCGTTGTGGCGTCGTGGCGTTTTTTTATCTTTTTTTTTAAATTGATGAAATTCCGCATACACTCCATCTGGGGTTCGGAAAATAACAAATCACATTTAAAGAAGAAAAAAAACAATGCTACTCTAGAGGGTATAATGTCTTTCTTTATTAACGCGAGCCAAGTTACGTGTAAAAGCTTGTCAATCGAAAATTGTCCTTTGTGTGCCTTTCAACAAATATTTTAATAATAATATGGCGAAAACTGTTCTTTGTGCGTCTTTTAACAAATATTTTAACAATAATATGGAATTTGGTTAAAATCTTAAATATATTTGAGATTATCCCGGGACAGTTTAGAAGCACAATCGGGTCTGGGATGTGACACTGCTGTAAGGATATAGTTTCTTTAACCACATGTCTAAGGACAGAACAAGGCCACTAGGGCCGCTAATTCGTATGTACTATGATAAACGCAATATGATAGTGAGGATCATCTCAGACATTGGTGTCACTAAAAATACACGTTTTAAAATCTATGCAATCCCTTTCTTTGTAATAAGATCTAGACTCTCATCTATGTTTTGTAAACTCAGGTGATTAAATTTTGATTATCTATAAGCCAAGTAACAATATTAAGCGTACTTATACATCATCGTTTTGATGAACAATTGAGAGAATGAGTAGTAACTCTCAGTTCATGAAGTTCAGAAGGTGACACTTGGTTGTGGTCCGGGCGAAACCATCATGAGCTTGCCCGCCATGCCTGTGCAGGAGTGACATTCGTCATCGATAAGATCCCAAGGTTGGGCCTCGAGGAGGTGCCATGATTGTATCGATGGTAGAGGACCCTCTCTGAAGCCTAGTAGTATTACCAATTTTTTATTTTTTTATTGCTTGAGTAGGTGGACGAACTCACGGCCCACCTGGTATTAAGTGGTTACCGGACCCCATAGACATCTACGATGCCGCCACCTACCTTGAGATATGAGTTTCAAAGTATCAGTATAGTTACAACGGCTGCCCCACCCTTCAAACCGAAACGCATTACTGCGTCACGGAAGAAACACGCAGGGTGGTGGTACCCGTGCGGACTCACAAGAGGTCCTATCACCAGTAAGTAACCAAACTATAATTTTGCGGATTTGATTTTTACTATTATTCCTTCACTGTGGAAGTCAATCGTGAACATTTGTTAAGTACGTATTTCATTAGAAAAATTGGTAGATACTTGCATAGGGATTCGAACACCGGTTCATCATTAGATACGGCTGCACCGGACGTCTTATCCTTTAGGCCACGATGACGAAATGTTCTGGAAAGCTGTAAACTTGTTGTGTCGACTATAAAAGCGTTGCAAAGACGACACGTATTAATTAATTCTACTAGAAGCGAAACAACGAACGGATCACTTGAAGCAAAACGACAGAAGTTAATTGTGAATTGTGAAGTGTACCTTAAGTGTAGTAGTAATTAAATATATTTTTTATTTAATTTTGTATGCAGTGAAAGTATTTATTTACAATATAGTTCAGGCAACGAAGTCGAAGTTCGATATTTGATATTATACAGATTTACGATATGTTTCAGAACTATGATGAAGATATATGAATTTTCGCAAAAGAGACTTTAAGAAAATGACTTCGATATTCAAGGGTTCTCCGCCTCAAGAGGGCATCAAGAGTAAGTAATGAAATTTAACGGCGGACACTATTTTCACATTAAATATTAGAGCCAGTATTACATACAGTCGTAGGATTGCTGACAATACCTCGTTTCATTACTTCCAGGAAGGCTTCTTCTCGCGCTCTCTTTAGGAGCATTCCTTTTAATTTCATCCATTGCGCTGATCCTCACAGATCCCATGTGGGCCATCGCCAAATACGTAAGTTCACTTTTTATTACTCATTGAATTACAATAACAGTGCAATTGAATGGAAAACATGAAACAAAATTAGTGTTTTTTTTTACTGCTTAGACGCTGCTATGGTAGTCGTCGTGGTCTAAAGGATAATACGTCCGGTGCATTCGTGTTGAAGCGATGCAACGGTGTTCGAATCCCGCAGGCGGGTACCAATTTTTCTAATGAAATACGTACTCAACATATGTTCACGATTGACTTCCACGGTGAAGGAATAACATCGTGTAATAAAAATCAAACCCGCAATATTATAATTTGCGTAAGTACTGGTGGTAGGACCACTTGTGAGTCCGCGCGGATAGGTACCACCGCCCTGCCTATTTCTGCCGTGAAGCAGTAATGCGTTTCGGTTTGAAGGGTAGGGCAGCCGTTGTAACTATACTGAGACTTTAGATCTTGTACCTATCTCAAGGTGGGTGGCGCGTCTACGTTGTAGATGTCTCTGGGCTCCAGTAACCACTTAATACCAGGTGGGCTGTGAGCTCGTCCAGTCATCTAAGCAATAAAAAAAAATAAAAAAAAGACAGCTGGACGATTTCAATATAAGGAATGCTTCTTGGGAGCTGATCGGTGTTGGTGGACCTGGTGATCTTGAATGGTGATCGGTGGGACTCACTTGTCTTTGGTCTTTCTAATTTTTTAGCTTTTAATAGTTTTAAACAATTTAATTCGATTTCTAATATAAATAAAAGATGCTTAGATTTAGTAATAAGTAATTGAGCTTGTAACGTTATTCGTTCGTCCCTTCCTCTTGTATCTGAGGATGATCATCATCCAGCTTTAGACATTCAGATTCAGGGGTTAGACGTGAGAACCCTTCGTTCTCCCGGCCGGTCTATATTGCTTTTCCATAAAGGTGACTACTCTATTATTAACGAGGAACTTTCTAAAATAGATTGGAAACAATTTTTTATGAATTTAGATGTCGACATGGCCGTGGGCAAGTTTCATGAAATCATAGACAAAATTATTTCTGATAATGTGCCTGTGAAGGTTGTAAAAGGTAACTCCAATTTCCCTTACTGGTACTCCTCTGCTTTAATCAAGTTGATTAAAGAAAAAAGAAAATTTCATAGGAAATGGAAATGTTATGGTCGATTGGCCGACTATTCAAGTTTTTCTGTTCTTCGTGAAAGACAAAAAGCCTTAAAAATTTACTGTTACAATGCACACATAACAAAGTGTGAGGATGATATCTTGAAGTGCAGTAAGCAATTTTGGAGATTTGTTAAATCCAAGAGGAGTGCTGGGGATTTTCCTAACGAATTGTTCTTTAATGATAGGTGTTCATCTGATGGTTCTGAAATATGTAATTTATTTAATGTTCATTTTGGTTCTGCCTTTTTAACTAACAATACACCGTCAGCATCATCGTTATGTTATACCCCTGCCTCTTACGACCTTAACTGTGTAGATATTTCTTCATTTTTTGTTTCGGTGGGTAAAGTCAAACAATATTTGAAAAATCTTGATATTTCCAAGGGTGCTGGTCCGGATGGTATTCCGCCTGTTTTTTTGCGACAATGTTACGCTCAGCTGTGTTACCCTTTGCATCTTCTTTTTAATCTCTCATTATCAACTGGTGTTATGCCCCGTATTTGGAAGCGGTCGTTCGTGGTGCCAGTCTTTAAGAGCGGTGATAAAAATAACATAGCTAACTACAGACCAATTTCTAAAATTTGTGCCATCCTAAGATGTTTGAACGTATAGTTTATGATTTTTTATTTCCATTGATTAGGCCTCATATTATAGAGCAACAGCATGGTTTTATAAGCCATAGATCTACTGAGACAAACCTCTGTGAGTTTTTGGATTATGTATTGAACTCCATGGAGGATGGTCATCAGGTTGATGTGGTGTACACGGATTATTCCAAAGCGTTCGATCGAATAAATTTTGACATTTTGATTGTGAAATTGCATGGACTTGGGGTCCACGGTGATTTGCTGCGATGGCTTGAGTCTTATGTTAGAGATCGCAGTCAGGCTGTGACTTTCAATGGTTTTTGTTCTTCATTTGCACCTGTTCCCTCGGGAGTTCCTCAGGGCTCTCCTCATCTCGGTCCTATGTTATTTAATATATATGTCAATGACGTTTCAAATGTTTTCAAGAAATCCAAATTCATTATGTACGCCGATGACAAAAAAGTATATAAAGTTAAAAAGTCCTTAAATGACTGTTTGGAATTACAGGATGATTTGAACAACTTATTTGTTTACTGTCAAAATAACTTACTCACAGTGAATACTAACAAGTGTACTATTATAACATTCTCACGTGGAAGATCGAATATCTTGTATGACTATTCTATTAATGGTCAAACTTTGGTACGCACCACAGTTGTTCGTGATTTGGGTATTTATTTGGATTCTAGTCTGATTTTTTATGTTCATGTTAATGAAATAGTAAATAAGGCTTTTCGAATGTTAGGCTTCATACTTAGAGTTGGTAAAGACTTTAAAAGACCATCTACTTTGATTCTGTTGTACAACAGTTTTGTACGGTCTATATTGGAATATGGCTCCGTCACATGGAATCCCCAATATAATATTTATATTCAGCGACTAGAAAGAGTCCAAAAAAAGTTTTTTAAGCATCTTTTATACCAGTGTCGTCGCTTTAACTCTCCAGAACCGACAGAATTTGTCTCTCTAGTCGATCGTAGGCTACTGAGGGATCAAATGTTTTTATATAAAATAATAAATAACGAGATTGATTCAAGCTATCTTCTTTCCAAAATTTTATTTAAATGTAGTCGTATTTCCGCGCGTTCTAAACAGACTTTCCACATATCCACGGCTCGAACGAAATATGCTTCTAACTCTTTTGTCCGTAGATCTTGTAGGTTTTATGATGCTAAGTTCTCTAATGCTGACATCTTTTGCTTGTCATTTGTAGCATATAGAAAAGCTATTTTAAAACTTTTATAAGGTGATTTAGCCCGATAAGTAGTATAGTTGATGTATAAAATAATATGTGCGTATTGTGTTGCTTTTGTTTTTTTTTGTAATTTAAATTTCTAAATTTCTCTTCTTGTTCACTGTCTACTTATATGTGATTTTGATTGTGGAAACATTTTTGGTTATTGTTTTAGCTATATTTTTTTAAATATTATATGTTTGTATTGTACTGTTTGTTTCCCAAATAAATAAATAAATAAATATCAGACCAAAGTTAACCAAAACAAATAACAACGAATTCAGTTAGGATCAGTTCCAATGTGTTTGATAGCACTGTCTTCTGATCTATAATGTCCGGCGGCTATATAAAGCGATTCTTTCCAGAAATTTCGTCTTGCCAATGGAAGTATACTCCATGAGCTCTTGTCATCGGAGATGGAAGGTGGAAGGTTCGCGGTGTACCTGTTCAACATAACTAACCCTGACCGGTTCCTATCGGGCGAAGACCCATACCTTAAACTTGACGAAGTGGGTCCGTTTACTTATTTGTGAGTTTAATTCATATTTTATTCTCAATTTTTTTTGGGAATGAGTTTCCTTATGGGACGATGCGGAGGAGTTTTTTTTTTTCGGGCCGGGGTTGGAACCTCCTAAAAGGTCCCCGTGCCTAGGGAGCGCGTAGGGTATGTGGGACTCAACGATCTGCAGGTGTTGAGAGCAAACCGCGGGCCCAAGGAATTTTAGGGCCCACCCACTAAACGTCTCCCCTGCACTCTTACACCCGACGTCCGATCTCCGTCCGGGGTCAAAACCCGGTCAGGGTAGGGGGGTTCCCGCGGTCAACACTACAACCAGACACGCGGTGCCACCCCGAGGACGCCCGACCGACGGGTCGTCGAGGCGATAGTCGATAACCAACGACGTCGGTCTTCGCGGTACGGTGGCCCTACCAGGCCGCCCGGATGCGGAGGGGTACCCTAACCGGAAAAAAACGTTCGTAACGTAAGATTTTTATTAGTAATGCACACAGTGTCCGACTTAGCTTTGTAATAACGTACAAAAATAACATATTTTTTTATCATTCATTGACCACGATCTCGGAGCGTTCGTTTGCGCAATACACTAACCCGTGAATGAAGTGTACCACAATAAGTTCGCACGTTACAGAATGACCGTGGGTTGTTGCGAAACCTACAGCTTTATTTTCTTTATACCTCGAATAGAACTTCTTAAAATTATTATTTTTATAATAAGGAACTTCGTTTCTATCCGGTGTCCCACGACATCACACATTTTTTTTCTTCTAATTATGCATATCGACGCTTGAAAGGCAAACGTGACTAAGCGAAAATAACTGCTTTGTACATAAATGATAGGCAATAACATAATCGATGAGCAAAAAAAATATTTGTAGGTCTATTAAAATCATTTCAATTCTTTTTTTTTTTTTTATTGCCTTTGTAGGCAGACGGGCATACGGCCCACCTGATGGTGAGTGGTTACTGTCGCCCATGGACTTCAGCAATGTCAGGGGCAGAGCCAAGCCGCTGCCTACCGCTTAATACTCTCCATAAGCCTCGTTTGAAGAAGGACATGTCATAGCGCTCGGGAAACACCGTGGAGGGGAGCTCATTCCATAGCCGGATGGTACGTGGCAAAAAAGATTCTATAGCTAGATTCGTTAAAATTTAATTTTTTTCAGGTATTTCAACTTTAAATTAGTCTACAGTTCACACATTGTCGCTTAGTCACGTTTGCCATTCAAGCGTCGATGTAGACTCAGCTAAACATTTTACACCGAAATAGTTAGTCTGCGTATTTACATGTTTTAAAGATTCATTCTTTTCTATTGCAGAGAATACCGAACTCACTCTGAGTTGCAGTTTGACAGAGAAGCCGGAGTAATGTTGTACACTCCGCGGATGCGATCTGTGTTTGTTCCTGAAGAATCTATCGGGAACCCTGAAGAAATTTTCCTCACCATGCCCAATATACCAATGCTAGTAAGAATTTTATTAGCCTATGGTGGTAGGTGAGCAACCGTGAGTAGCTGTGAATACGATACACGTCACGTATTTAGCAGACTTTAATGGAAACTTAATTTATAAAAAACTGTTATCCAAAACCTTTCTCCTTTTAATTAACAATCATAAAGTCTAAAGGAATAACATAGAGTAAGTAGTACAGAGTAGTAGTAGAGATTTACTGGTGGTAGAACCTCTTGAGAGTCCGCGCGGGTAAGTACCACCACCCTTTTTTGCCACGTATCATCCGGCTATGGAATGAGCTCCCCTCCACGGTGTTTCCCGAGCGCTATGACATGCCCTTCTTCAAACGAGGCTTATGGAGAGTATTAAGCGGTAGGCAGCGGCTTGGCTCTGCCCCTAGCATTGCTGAAGTCCATGGGCGACGGTAACCACTCACCATTAGGTGGGCCGTATGCTAGTCTGCCTACAAGGGCAATAAAAAAAAACCCTGCCTATTTCTGCCGTGAAGCAGTAATGCGTTTCGTTTTGAAGGGCGGGCAGCCGTTGTAACTATACTGAGACATTAGAACTGATATCTCAAAGTGGGTGGCGCATTTAGGTCGTACATGTCTATGGACTCCAGTAACCACTTAACTCTAGGTGGGCTGTAAGCTCGTCCACCCATCTAAGCAATAAAATAAAATAAAAACAGTGTCCTCGAATATTAATCTGATATTTTTTTTATTAATTCAACAAGAGGTGAAGTTGACAATAAAAAAGGTAGACAGTGCTTTAAAATAAAATTTGCCATCTTTGAACTGTTTGTTTGCTTTCAGAGCGCAACAACAATGATCCGATCATCGCCCGTCTTCATTCGTAATATCTACAACATAGTCGCCCGCCAATACGGATCCCAGCCCATCGTGAAGTTGGCAGCCAGTAAATACTTGTGGGGCTACAAGGATCCTGTCCTGACCTTCGCTAACAGCTTGGTGCCTGGTCTCATATATTTTAACACTACTGGAATTATGGATAGAGTAAGAAAATTTCTTTTAAAAAAATTAACAAAAAACATGTGTGCGTTTCACACGCGGTAAAAGCGAAACCTTCAAAAATTAAAATACAATGATATGTTTAAGCATAAATAAAATTTTGTCATTAGATTAGAAGTAAATAATAAAATTGCAAATAATTTTTTACAGTATGAGCTAGCGCCCTCTGTGAATTGATATTTTAACTTCACGTATAACCCTAAATTAAAATTCATTACTAGAGGATTCATACACACGTACGTATTAAAAATCTCATAGATGGCGCTGTGTTAAAAAATCATCAACAATCAACACATATATACTAAAACCTAATAAGCAGGTGCAAGCACATGCACTAAAGACCGAATGTCTAATGTGTTCTATCACGAGAATGATGTGTCGCCGGCTGAATCCTATACATTTATGTGTTTGTGTCTCCATGGACTTACTTTTTCGTTTCATCGAGTTTGAAATCACAACGATTCTAAAGAAGTTTCACTTCAAAAGCTTATTCATTTTTATTTAATAGAAGCTGTGTGCTCTGTCGGATAAATTTTAAAACTTTTTCATTTGAATTGATTCTTCAATGTATCACACCGAAGACAGAAACTTGTTATTATGCAAACTATGCCATTCATTATGTACGTGGATAGTACATATGACCTACGCTAAGCTAAGATATATTATATATGTCGCAGAACGGGCCGATATCTTCGTTATTTCTTGACATAGTGGGCGTAAGGTGGGTAATCGTGCAAAGAGCTTGCACAGCACGAAACGATATGACGGTTCCGAGACATCTTTACTCTTCCCAAGTCAGGCAACGGAATATTAAGTGTATAATGTATGAACGAATGTGTCTCGATTCCACTCAAGCGATGACAGCTCTGCCGAAGCACGCCACTCGCAATGAGCCGATGTTTGCCTATTTCTGCCGTGAAGCAGTAATGCGTTTCGGTTTGAGGGGTAGTGCTGCCCTTGTAACTATACTGAGACCTTAGAACTTATATCTCAAGGTGGGTGGCGCATTTACGTTCTAGATGTCTATGGGCTCCAGTAACCACTCAACACCAGGTGGGCTGTGAGCTCGTCCACCCATCTAAGCAATAAAATAAAAAAAAGTTGCGACAGATGAGGCGGTCAGCATAAAAGCAGCCTAAGCTTACCATAGTCAGTAAAGAGATAATGAGTTTTGAATTTAATTTTACACTGCTTCGTAGGCAAAAACAATAGGCGCAAAAATAATGTTTACAAAGCCATCTGTTATCTATGGGTGAAACTAGAGATAGGACGGTTTTTCATCAAAATTTATTAAGTTTTAAATAAATTGTAATATATAAGCACGAATATGAAAAAAAAAATATATGCCACTTTTGCTCTGACTAGACTAAGCATTTTTGGTCATTTTGTTTTGTGAGCTGAGTCAATGATTTAAAAACAAAAGTGTTTTTTATTTTATTTTATTTTATTGCTAGATGGGTGGACGAGCTCACAGCCCACCTGGTGTTAAGTGGTTACTGGAGCCCATACACATTTACGACGTAAATGCGCCCCCCACCTTGAGATATAAGTTCTAAGGTCTCAAGTATAGTTACAACGGCTGCCCCACCCTTCAAACCGAAACGCATTACTGCTTCACGACTGAAATAGGCAGGGCGGTGGTACCTACCCGCGCGGACTCACAAGAGGTCCTACCACCAGTAGAGTGTGTTGTAAACCTAGTATTTTTAAATGTTTTTTTTGCGTTTCCTTGGAACAGGCCTTTTAACCTTCGTTAGGTCAAAATCGATAATGGATATCTTTTACGAACAATATCGAAACAACATTTAATACAATTTTTTGTGCATTTGAAAGTTAATTAATCGCTAGATTATAAAATTAATTAAGATGTACGTAATTGAATCGTAAGGGTTTTAATCATAATAGTTTCTCACATTGCAGTTGTATGATAAGAACGTACACTATCACATGGAATTGGGAACTAATGATGATGATAAATTCAAGATTAAGAGAATACATAAATATACTCGACTCCACCCTGAGTCTGAAGTTTTTGATGAAAGGTACTTTCCGGTTTTTTCCGTTTTTATGAACAATGAGAGCAGTCTACTTATCGAAAAGATATTATTGTCGCTCAAGTATATCACTTAATTACTGGTGGTAGGACGTCTTGTGAGTCCGCACGAGTAGGTACCACCACCCGGCCTATTCTGCCTTGCTATGCTTCCATGAAGCAGTAATGCGTTTCGGTTTGAAGAGCGTGGCAACCATTGTACAGTAAAAACTGAGACCTTATAAAACTCATATTTCAAAGTGGGTGGCGACATTTACGTTGTAGATGTCTATGGGCTCCGGTGACCGCTTAACATCAGATGGGGCCGTGAGCTCGTCCACCTACTCAAGCAATAAATAAATAAAGATCTGATAATACTACTAGGCTTCAGAGAGGGTCGCTCTACCATCGATACGATCATGGCACCTCCTCGAGGCCCAACCTTAGGATTTTACCGATGAGGAATGCCATCCCTACACAGGCATGGCGGGCAAACTCATGATTGTTTTCGCCCGGGCCACAAGCAAGTGTCACTCACGTTATACCCACATAAGCAATAAAAAAAAAACACCCAGCCCCCAGGGCTCTTTGAAAGCCTAATCTGAAGAAAGATATGTCTGTCACTGGAGGAAGAGTTTATGGGCTTCTTTAACACAAGAATGCGTGGAAGCGTCTTGTAAATTACGCCAGTAAATATACCAACTTTTTCCAGTATACTAACTTTCAACGACACCTATGAAGGCATGGCATACCCACCGATGATTGGCACGAACACACCAATCAACATATTTAGATTAGGCATCTGCAAGTCCTTCGAGATGGAATACCACGGCAATAAGACGTCGGAATACGGCCCGAATGCTTTCGTGTACAAATTTAATGAGAAGATGTTCGAGAACAATCTTTGCGATGTTAAGGGGGCTTGCCCTAAAGGCGTCATGGATTTGTCAGCTTGCTTTTATGGTAAGGTGTTCTTGTATAGAATTGCAAACAAATATATGTCATTATTTAGCCGGAACCGTTGCAATTTGAAGTCGTTGTGGCCTAAAGGATAAGACGTCAGGTCCATCCGTATCTAGCGATGTAACGGTGTTCGAATCCCGCAGGCGGGTATCAATTTTTCTAATGAAATACGTACTTAACAAAATATGTTGACGACTGACTTCCACAGTGAAGGAATAGCATCGTGTAATAAAAATCAAACTCACAAAATTATAATTTGCGTAATTACCTACTGGTGGTAAGACGAGTGAGTCCGCACGAGTGGGTACCACCGCCCCGTCTATTTCTGCCGTGAAGCAGTAATGCGTTTCGGTTTGAAGGGTGGGGCAGCCGTTGTAACTATACCTTAGAGCTCATATCTCAAAGTAGGTGGCGGCAAGGTAGGTGTAGATGTCTATGGGCTCCGGTAACCATGTAACACCAGGTGGGCTGTGGGCTCGTCACACACTATACCGAAATTGCGTTGCGTTATAGCGTACAACGTAGGTAACTCCGGTCGGGCATAAATTCAGCGGCAAATAATTCGGGTTTGGCTCCTCAAAAGTAATAACGGAACCCTAACAGGATCACTTTATTTCGCCTCTGTCTGTCCAACTGTTTAAATAGCACACGACACGACGCCACGACAGTGATCGAGACACTGAATACACACACAAAGTTGCGCAACTGAATTTCTGCCGCGTAAGTTCGGCGCTATGTGTGCTTATAGGTCAGCCAATTACGTCGGAATGTAAAATCAGCCGCGGAACTTCGGTCGCGTACTTACCTACTTTCGGCATAGTGTGTTTAGGAGACTTAAGTTATTCGACATACCTCACTGAGATGAGAAACTAAGCAAAACTTATTCTACAGGTTTGCCCATGGGATTATCAAAGGGGCATTTATTGGATGCTGATCCAAAACTGTTCGATCGCATCAAGGGCTTGAAGCCAGATCCCGAAAAACATTCTAGTCACTTAGTCATAGAACCGGTAAGAAAATGATGGTCTATGTACATACTAATACATATTATTATCATAAATACGAAAGTAAGCTATTAGTCTCGTATGTCACAAACAAAGTGCTGAACTCAAATGGACGAAATTCGATATCGAAATAGTTTAAATCCTGGCAAAGAACATAAGCCACCATTCATCCCACTGCTGCAGACGTGAAGCCAAATGCAATTTTCAATCTCACCGTCTGTTTGGTATTAGTAGAACGTTCGCCTACTGGAATATTGATAACACCGTTCAATTCTCTTTAGTTGAGACAAAAAATATCTAATCCTTCACGTATTCATACTAAAAATCCCACGTCTTTACTGATCCATCCGCTCCACTAGCACGGCTATTATTCGTTTGCAGCTCTAGCACTAGGAGCAGGCACAGGGATTGTGGCAAACGTACTCGTCACATTCGTCAAAGAGGTCCACGAAAAGCCTAACCCATAGAATCAGCTCGCTGATTTTCTCGCTGGACCTTCTCAGCGGATGGTGATTCCGATCCGATGGAAGATTCTGTAAAGCACAGCTCTTTCTAGGGCTAGTGTTACAAAATTATCTCAGGTTAGCCCGTGAGCTCACCTACCCATCCGCGTAGCTGGAATAGCCCCTTAGGCTGCAAGGGAATGGGTAGGCACATTTTCTTCAGAATATTTCTGTAACTGGTCCTGTGTTTCATTATTTTGGAAGGGCTTTAATATTTAAAAATTAGTGCAGAGAAGGAGGAAGTACATTGATAAATAGCAATATAGAAGCACGTCACACAACAACGAACACTTACACTGACTTTAATTTTATGCAACAAATTACAATGTTTTTCAATTAATTTATATCTTTACGTCCTATAGAAAATTGGATTGACTCTAGAAACGTCATGGTCACTACAAGCAAACATCTTTGTTGGAGATATCACATACAACGCTGAAGCTAAGATGTTTTCCAATATGATCCTTCCTATAGCACATTTCAAGATTGTAAGTCACATTAATTTATTCAACCTTGCATAGACAGGCGAGCTACTGTTTGTCGGAGCTTTCGCCTTCTATATGCCCTTCTCCGGGCCTGCAGGAAATTCCTAATCAGATTTCGACGTCATGTTTCAAAGCTGGTCAAAAAAATGCTTTCGTTTGGAGATCCAGTACCAGTGGTAATGTGATGTCACTTGGCATTTACAAGTATGTCAATAAAGTTATATGAGCCAATTCGGCAAAGTTTCCAGTACATTGAAGGTAGTAACTGTGAGAAAACAGTGCTAAATTAATAAATAATAACCGAAAAGAACCCAGGCCTACAGTGACCATTCAATAGTGCACACATCCAACTCTTTATAGCGGTACCAGCTCCGTACCTGCATTTACCCCTACACGTACCTACACCGGGGAGTAAAGGTGCCTTGCTGAGTTAGCACCTGATCTATCTACGATTGATAGTAGATTGGTTAGTTTAAATTACATTTGTGAACAAGAGTAGCCGGCAGCTAACTGGTGGTAGCGCTCCTTGAGAGCCCACACGTGTAGGTTTCACTCCACTCTGCCTTTTTTCTGTCGTGAAGCAGTAATGCATTTCAGTTTAAAAGATGTGGCAGTCATTGTACTGTAAAAACTGAGATTTAGAATACCTGTCTCAGGGTGAGCGGTGGCATTCACGTGTCTATGGGCTCCGTTGACCACTGAGCACCAGGTATACCTTGAGCTCGTCCACCCATCTTATTCAAATATTTGCTGCTGAAACCATGATATCTTCGCCAACTTTCACACAAATGGTATTTATTGGTCATTTCAGAAACAACCTCACCTGCCGTCAATAGCTATCACAGCGCTGCGTATGATGTATATAACGGTTCCAAAAGCGCTCTTCATTACCGAAATACTTCTGATGCTCTCTTGTTTGCTGCTCTTAGTCTACTCAGCGTGGTTGATGCACTGGAAACGAGTTCACAAAAAACAGTCACTGTCAGAGAAAGAACTGCAGATATCCAGCCGAATGGCCAATGAGCCTTTGATGAGTTATTTGACGATAAATTAATGTAAGGATTGACTGCATTGATAAAATTATTATAAATATTATTATTATATCTATCTCTATATATAAAAATGAATTGCTGTTCGTTAGTCTCGCTAAAACTCGAGAACGGCTGAACCGATTGGGCTAATTTTGGTCTTGAATTATTTGTGGAAGTCCAGAAAAGGTTTAAAAGGAAGTAGATAAATATGAAAATGCTCGGAATTAAATAAAAATAACAATTTTGTTTTTCCTTTGATGTGTCCCCCGTCGGTCTTTTATTTATCGATTGAGGCACTACGAAGTCCGCCGGGTCAGCTAGTTATATTATAAAAGCTTATTATAAAATGTTTTGGGTTTTACTAAAGCTGATAAATTACCTTCTTTGTTTGTATATTCCTGGTTCGAGCATCTGTTGTCGCCACCCTTTGATTGGAAACTGGAATGTTATTAGAAATTAGTTCAAAAAAAGCACTAACCGAGACGAAGCTCTCGATCCCAAAGCATATTATGTCCTGGAGGATCGTTTATCTATCACCGCTTACCGAAAGTCGTTACTTTTGAAGTCGTCGTGGCCTAAAGGATAAGACGTCCGATGCATTTGTGTTGAGGCGATGCACCGATGTTCGAATCCCAGGCGGGTACCAATTTTTCTAATGAAATACGTACTCGACAAATGTTCACGATTGACTTCCACGGTGAAGGAATACAATCATGTAATAAAAATCAAATACGCAAAAATTATAATTTGCGTAATTACTGGTGGCAGGACCTCTTGTGAGTCCGCACGGGTATGTACCACCGCCCTGCCTATTTCTGCCGTGAAGCAGTAATGCGTTTCGGTCTGAATGGTAGGGTAGCCGTTGTAACTATACTGAGATCTTAGAACTTATATCTCAAGGTGGGTGGCGCATTTACGTTGTAGATGTCTATGGGCTCCAGTAACCACTTAACACCAGGTGGGCTGTGAGCTCGTCCATTCATATAAGCAATAAAAAAAAAAAGCTTAACAAAGCCCCTTAGGACTGACTCACCTTGATACATGTGATCCAAATCTGTATTGTATTGTGGGTGTCCCACTTTTAAAACCGGAATACAACTGCTTCGCAGCAAAGGGAAACGTGATGGTACCTACCAGCTCTGATCCACAAATTGACTACTTGGAATCTGGTAGCCGAACGTAGACCATTCAAACGGTTCGCTCAACCCTCAATATCAAGTTACATGATGCTCTCTCTGATGCAAAAGACAGACACAGGTGGAGAAACATCATCAAAAGAAAGTTAACCTCTCATCGTGGAATTGCCGACTCTTAGTAATGAGGAAGATGCGATATTGGAAAACGACAAAGGGAAGATTTGCCAACAACCGGGTCTTATTACTCGGTAGACCGACTCCACGGTTGTTATTGGGTCTATATACCTGCAAGGCTATTCTGAAAATGTCATTAGGGCGATTCAGATTCATGTTGTATTTCCTCTATTCTACGATATTTACCGCTACGACTAGAACTGCATTACCGAATACTGACTAAAGATCGATTAGTACTGTGCTTGTAGGTGTTGTAAAGAGCACATTAAGAGTTGGGGATGGGTCCTCATGTCTAATAGCGGGTGGTTGCCTTCACTTACGAATGCCTATGAGTTCCGGCATCTAGAATAAAGTTCCGAGTTAACGCACAAAAAAAAGTGCAAGCTAATTATGAATATCCTCCTTCCATTCTTTTTAGAAGTCGGTTATAAATAAAAATGAAGTACTCCGCAGTACTTCATTTTTGTTCGGATTACATAATTTGTTATCGGAGTCCGTCTCTTTGTGAAAAACAGTTTGTATTCTGTACACCGAACCCTCTGCAAATTCAACACGTCTCATTCCATATCATTTATGTGCATCGTATTTGAGTAAAAATTCAAATAAATCAAACGCATTTCATTCTAAATCATTTACTTATAACATAGTTTATTTATACAAGTGTTTTCCGAGCGCTATGACATGTTCTTCTTCAAACGAGGCTTGTGGAGAGCACTTAAGATAAAAAAAAAATTAGATTATGAAAATCATACAAAAACATAATTTATGTAACTTTTATTGACAGAACTGAAATCAGTAACAATCCAGCTACGCAATAAACATTTTAAAACTTAAATTGTTCATAGGTTCTTTAAATTATAAACTAAAAACTTGAAACAGAAATATCTGAATCGCCCTAATTCTAGAGGCGAATGGGATCGTACAAAATAAATATTTTAATGATTTTTTTCTTAAAACTATACATTTGGAATCATATTTTTTTTAAATAATTAATAATAAGAACAATTTGTAATTACTAATACATAAATCACATACCTACATATGGGCCTTTTTTTCCTCCCATATCAGCACATTTTTCGTGGCGCCGTTCTTTGGATGCATGACACTGAATCCAATCCTCTGATGGTGGATGAATGAATTTTTCAGATCAGTAAATACAATGCAAACCTTTGATTTTTATTCCAAGCGTTCTGTTATTCTTCTCTTTAACATTGTGCTCAGTCTTTTTCTCTTTATCCACAGCTTTTTTGTCAGTCTTATGTTTACTGCTAGCGTCTTATTCGAGGAGATTACTCTTACTCTGGGGTGATGTCAAATGTAAAATTGGTTTTGTTGTTTACGACATTTCATGTCCACATTGTACTGTTATTCCAGTCTTCCTCTTAAATCGGTCTTGTCTATTACTGTTTCCAGCCTTAAAGAATTCGGCTGCTTTTTCCCATTTCATGCCGTCTATTCTTGCTCTAGACCAGGGGTGGGCAAAAGCCGGCCCGCGGGCCGGATCTGGCCCTTTTGCTAATTTTATCGGGCCCGTTGAAAAATTCCGCACATAATTTTTTTTAAACTCTTTTATGAGATTTTGTTGACATCAGCATTAAAAAAGCATATGCGGTAAAAAAGCATATGCGGTATAGTCCTCCGGCCCGGGAGACATTTTGAAAATTTCATTTTGGCCCGCGCTTTAAAGTATTTGCCCACCCCTGCTCTAGACAATCCTTCTGGTTTCCGAATAGTTAATTCGTTATTTCTTTTCATAAAGCGATGAAAGCAGCCCTGACCAGCCACTCCTATTTCTTTATTAAATTTGGGTTGAATGTTCTGACGTTCTGCTAATTGAAATACATATTTACGAACCGCCTTGGGTGTAATTCCGAAGCCACGATTTGCCAAATACAGTTTACGGTGTGCTAAAATCTTTTCAGCATCTTCGGCAGCATTTCATCTCAGACTGGCTGTCTACCAAGTGTAGTTTAGTAGTAGTGGCACCCCCGGAGAAAGAGCCTTCTCTTTGTATACTTGTGTACGGTAATTCGTAAATTTCAGCGGCCCGACGTAACGTTAACTCTTTGGCCAGGATTTTATTTGCAGCTCCTCTCATATTGCTTGAGACCATTCTGCCGCATTTGTCTTTCTTGTATACCTGCGAACCCTATAAAATGAAATAAAAATGCATCATTATCTTCATTTAAAAACGTGATCCAATTCGCCACCGAAGACGTGATCCGAATAACCACATATTAAAGACTTTTTAAATACATATTATTATATTATGTGTCGCATCCGGACACGACAAACGGAATGAAAGCGCGCCATCTAGTGGGTGTGAGCCGCAACTACTCGTCAAACGTCGGCTCACTTCGGGTGGTGTGCTTTAACCCACAGACACTGAGTTTCTCGCCGGATCTTCTCAGTAGGTCGCGTTTCCGACCCGGTGGTAGATTCTGCGAAGCACTGCTCTTGCTAGGGTCAGTGTTAGCAATTCTCCGGTTTGAGCCCCGTGAGCTCACCTACATAAGCTGAAATAGCCTCTCAAGGCTATCAGCATAAGTACGAGAAAAAAAAAAAAAAAAGTTGGTGTGCTTCGGCAGAGTCGAGATATCATTGCTCGAGTGAATCGGTACACATTCGTTGCCTGTCTCAGGGCCCTGAAACTGAGTAATGTATTTTTTTTTAATTGTTAATTTTTTTGTAAAAACCATTAACAAAACCAAAGACAAAATATGTAATACATGAAAAAATCTATCGAAATCTTGAGTTGTCTGTGATGGTCGGATTGCATTAATTGAGCATATACTTGCATTTACTTGAGACCTTAGAACTTATATCTCAAGGTGGGTGGCGCATTTACGTTGTAGATGTCTTTGGGCTCCGGTAACCACTTAACACCAGGTGGGCTGTAAGCTCGTCCAACCTTCTTAGCAATAAAAAAAAAAGAACACCGAGTTTTGGAAAAGAGCAGCTCTATGTATCTTCTGGTCGTTACTATCCGTTTGAGCGATGAAGCTTTTTTTTTTTTTTTTTTTTTTTATGATTGAAGGATTACTGGTGGCCCGGAGGCCTTTCCAGCTTCACCAGGACAGGTGGGCGAGCAAATGCTCAGCCAGGAGGGGTGGGATTTGCTAACAACTGCCCGAGCGCCTCCGAAGTAGACCTAACAACTCAAGAGCAGTTGCTTCGCGAATGAATCTACTACCGGATCGGAATCGCGACCCACTGAGAAGATCCGGCGAGAAACTCAGCGGGCTGATGCATGGGTTAGGCTGCACGTCGACCTCTTTGTCGAGTTCGACGCGTACGGTTACCGGGGTTCCTCAGCCTGCTCCTAGTGTTAGAGCTGAAGGTATCTAATGCAAGANACAAACGGGCCACTAAGTTGCCGAACGAATTCCAGGAATTTAGGGGTCCGCCCGTTCACAAACGGCGGTGCGACGCAATTAGCACAGGTAGTCACTTCCGAGAAAACACTTGGACGCCAGATGTGCCACGAACCGAGGTCGGGCGATCGAACGAACAATGAGCACGTCAGCACGCGGCGAGTGCTTGGATCGGAATGAGCGATGAAGCTCTACGAGTAAAGTAACCCATAGACACAGCCCACTGAGTTTCTTGCCAGATCTTCTCAGTGGGTCGCGTTTCCGATCCGGTGGTAGATTCTGCGAAGCACTGCTCTTACTAGGGTCACTCCGGTTTGAACCCCGTGAGCTCACCTACACACGTTAGGGCGAAGCTGAAATAGCCTCTCAAGGCTATCAGCATAGGTAGGAAAAAAAAGAGCGATGAAACTACATTCCGAATCGGGGGTAAATAGGTAGTTATTAAATTCACCTGCGCGGGCCTACGCAAATAAAAACAATGATTTGAAATCCCTGAATTATTTCCGGCATCCTGACACAGGCGCACCACCCACGTATCAAGGCAATCAACCATAGAATTTCAATATATTATTATGTACACGTGTCATTAATTAACGCTCCACATTCTTATTAGAATAAGTTACTTTAATTTTATTAGTCGAGAATATTAAAATGAAAATATTTAAATCCCATTATACCTATAATTTAGTAAAACGAAGTCAGTTTGAAAGAATTTGAAGTTTTTTGAACAAGCTAAACGATCGTTTGAAGCACCTGATGAAACGACATGTGGGATACTGTAAATAATTTATGAAATCAGCAATTAACAGAAGAATTAACGCGCCCCAACATGTCTGCAGCTAAACACTCGCAGGAGTTACTTGGAATCACTCCTTCATCTATACTTAATATTGTAAAGCTGAAGAGTTTGTTTGTTTGAACGCGCTAATTTCAGGAAGTACTTGTCCGATTTGAAAAAATCTTTCAGTATTATCTAACCCATTTATCGAGAAGGCTATAGGCTATATAACATCATGCTAAGATCAATACAAGCGGAGCACCAACAAATAATGTTTCAAAATCGGGGTTATTTTTACCTTTTGAGAGCTTCCGCTGCGTGCGCTGCAGAAACGGTTGGTTTCGCTAAAATAATGTATGATAGAATTGTCTCCCCTTAAAAGATCTAAAAAAAGTCCGCGACAGCATATATGTATATGTTAAGCTTGACTCACTATAACGTCTTTTATGCTAACCAAATTTGTTCTAAAATAAAGCATTATTTGTGAATTATTCCACGCGGACGAAGTCGCGGGCAAAAGCTAGTTTTGTTTGTAAAATCTAAACATCCCGTGCGATACAAGATACGCCACAGACGTTTTTTGAGATTACATGACAAATGGCCACCGAAGTATGAAACCTAAAATGACTCATACTGCGTCAAACTCAAATATTGAAATCTTTCAAAGGTATCAATCAAAAACGCTCAGGATTATAGTGAACGCACCATGGTATGTTACAAATGAAAGAATTCATTATGATCTTGCCATAAGAAAAGTCAAAGATGAAGTAATCCATCGAGCTAAAGCCTACTGTGTAAGATTGGAAGGTCATCCGAATAACCTTGCTAAGCATTTAATGGACAACCAAATAACCACAAGAAGACTCAGAAGAAGAGTGCCCCAAGATCTACTAGATCTACTGTGGATTAATTGATATGGACATATCGATGGACATTGTGTATGCACCGCCTAAGAAATAGTTTTTCTCAAAAATACGGCTGAATGTCTTAAGACAGCTTACCGTATAGAATTTAAAAAAACATTTTCTCAGCGGTCCCCATGCGGTCGTGCAGGCTAGGCGGTGCAAGTATAAATAAAACATTGACGTTAGTCTGACGGTGTAACCGGTACAGTGCGGTGTACTTTGTCGAGAGATGCTTGCTTTCTCACGCAGTGCACAACGTACTTAACTAATCCAAGTCGACGGTGGACAAACAATTTGAAGCTCAAGCCGAAGCCGAATGTATTGCAAGATTACAAAACGGATTTTTCGCGTTTAACATGAAAAAGTGATATGTTTGTTCTAATCACGCGATAAATATCTCTGAGTGTAAAGGAACGTGAACGGCAATTACAATTTCCAATAATTTTCAGACAGTAGTTTATAATGATCAACAATTTTCATTACATTTAGACGTAAGTATGTTTAATTCAGACGTCAGAAATTGTGAAGTTAATAAAAGAGATACCTCTGAATGAATTAGGAATCTCGTATACGATTTGCGAAAACCTTCGAGTGCTTTGAATAATATCCACTAAAATATCTCATTAAAATAAATTAAACAACAGACCACGTCGAAGAATGATTCTTATATATTTGAATTTCTATCAAAACAACAACAACGGGCCACTCAGTCCGGCAGAAACAGTATTAAACTGTCGAGTGTAGATTTTTTCGGCTGTAGATAACGTGCTCATATTATCTCACTTGATATGATTTGATCATCAACTGACGTAGACGTTACATGGATGACACTCACAGCTTGAGATGTGAGGCCAGAATTACAATTATCTCAAGATATTGTATTAACGAGTGCCCCACCCCACGGACCAAGACGCAGTGCTGTTTCGCTGTTTAACTAAATTAATATTCAAATATTGGCGTAGTTTTTCTTTACGGCAGTAAATAAAGCAAGATGCTGCTCGCGAGGAGCTCAGTGTAGCGGACAGTGTCGGTCGCTAGCTAGTGCGTTTTCAATTCTATCTGAGACGGCTGAGTTTACCTTCTGTAATATAACTAATTAACTATAATAAAAATTTTACGATTTATATGAATTAGACGACCAAAGTAATCGAGTGATTTATTTTTCTTTAGTACATTCGACCGTGAAGTTGTTTGGAAACGAATTTGAATATGGCCCGAAATGAAGGTACCTTTTATTGATTAGTAGTGAAATAAACAATTTTCCCATAGGTATATTAAAATGGCGGTGACTGGCGAAAATCTTAATCTATTCTACGAAAAAGGGAGTGAGTACCACCAGACTTACTTACCGACCAAGCATGATTTGCCAAGAATCTTCAAAAGAATTTTTTCCTGTTACAGAATTGTTTACAAGTAACCGAGTGCATTTCAGGTAGATTGATAATTATAACGGCAATAGCCGGAGTGACAATATTGGCTGCGGCACTAGTCACCATGGCCCTGGATCCCATACAGCTTTTAATCAATTATGTAAGTATACTAGCAGATGTCATCAACGTTTTGTTATTACCGCACGAATTATCGGCTAGTGGACTATACGCAATCGTTACTCCTGTCTATAACAAAATTTATATCCTTCATAAGATCATGAGCACTCATAAACATTTCGTTACCACTGTCTGCAAAGCACACACATATTCATCAACTTCATGATACCGCCATTAGCTTTTCCATCGTCCGTGTGCTCCAACGTCCTGTGACAACCAAATGACTGTCAGCGTTAACCCATCAGCAGCGTCTATCATCTTGCTTTTTTTTTCTTCCTATCTGTGCTGATAGCCTAGAGAGGCTATTTCAGCTTTTCCTTGACGTGTAGGTGTGCTCACGGGGCTCAAACCGGAGTGTTGCTAACACTGGCCCTAGCAAGAGCAGTGCTTCGCAGAATCTACCACCGGGTCGGAAACGCGACCCACTGAGAAGATCCGGCGAGAAACTCAGTGGGCTGTGTCTATAGGTTAATTTACTCGTGGAGCCTTTCGTCCCAAGAGACTGGTTCGACGGAGACGGTGACTGGTGCTTGTGGTACCTAAAAGCACCGTTAATGGATCAGGAGGATCCGTAATGACGTATTTAGGGCGACGTCGACTGTTTACCATTCGGTCACACATGCTTTAACTGTGGTTTTTTCTCCTTTAAAATCAATACTCAAAATAATTCAACCTTTTGTCGTAAGGTGGAGAAGAACCACACCCTAGGTTTGAATAGCCATTAACCTTGCTCTTGTTTTTGCAGACCACGTAGGTCAGCTCAGCGTGGCGTATCATTTACAAAACATCTCTATTATATAGAGGATTCTCTGAAAAGGCTTCTAAAACTCATTTTATTTATTAAATTCATATTAGTATACATCCGTTTGATGTTTCATTAGGAAATCTTTCTAGTCTATTTTAAGCAGTTCGTTGACATATTAAACTGTCTACGCAGTCTATTGTTTAAGAGCGAATGTGTTTAGAACTGGGTCATGACTTTATTACTAAACAATAGACATTTGTAAAAATTAATTAGGTGCCCATTTCAATAGAGGACTTATTTAAAAGGCATATTGTTAGTATAATTTAATATTAAGTATTTTAAAATACCGGGCGGTTTCACTCTCTTTCAAGTTTGAGGTTCTAAATAATATAATGTCATCGTAGCCAAAAGTAAAACGAACGCTCTAAAATAAATTAAATTTTTATTCATCGTTCGAGTTATTTTTTAAAAAGTACACTCCAAGTAGGTATGTCTTTCGGTCGACACATTGTGTTTTCTCTTTAATTCTGAGCAAAATCTTCTGTCCTATCATACATTTCACAATACACGAAACGGATTGGTCGTCGTGGCCTAACGGATAAGACGTCCGGTGTATTCGTGTTGAAGCGATGCACCGGTGTTCGAATCCCGCAGGCGGGTACCAATTTTTCTAATGAAATACGTACTCAACAAATGTTCACGATTGACTTCCACGGTGAAGGAATAACATCGTGTAATAAAAATGAAACCCGCAAAATTATAATTTGCGTAATTACTGGTGGTAGGACCTCTTGTGAGTCCGCACGGGTAGGTACCACCACNTGAAGCGATGCACCGGTGTTCGAATCCCGCAGGCGGGTACCAATTTTTCTAATGAAATACGTACTCAACAAATGTTCACGATTGACTTCCACGGTGAAGGAATAACATCGTGTAATAAAAATGAAACCCGCAAAATTATAATTTGCGTAATTACTGGTGGTAGGACCTCTTGTGAGTCCGCACGGGTAGGTACCACCACTCCGCCTATTTCTGCCGTGAAGCAGTAATGCGTTTCGGTTTGAAGGGTGGGGCAGCCGTTGTGACTATACTGAGACCTTAGAACTATATCTCAAAGTGTGTGGCGCATTTACGTTGTAGATGTCTATGGGCTCCAGTAACCACTTAACATCAGGTGGGCTGTGAGCTCGTCCACACATCTAAGCAATAAAAAAAAAAAAAAAAAAAAAAAAAAAAAACACTTGTCTTTGCACGATCTCTGTCTCATTTGTGCCCATCATTCGTAATTTTAACCTGTTCATCGTTTCATTACGTGTCTGACCAATGCCAACGTTTTACTCCTCATTAAATCAGTCACAGCTATCATCATAGATAATACACATGCTATAATCTGGAGTTAGGTATAGGTGTACTATTAGCATACTCTACTAGGGTAACGGTGGCATTTTTAACGCCCATTAGGGACGGTAATCACTTACCATCAGGTGGGCCGTATACTCGTTTGCCTACTAGGGAAATAAAAAAATATGTTTTTTTTTTCAGAATACCCGCGTCACCAACAATTCATTTATGTTCAATATGTTCCAAAAAGAGGTGGATGGTGCCCATTTGTCTTTATACGTATTTAACGTGACCAACGCTCAGGAGTTCATGACGGGAGAAGATCACAGTTTAAATGTACAAGAAGTTGGACCGTTTACTTACGCGTAAGTATTTAATTACACCCCGTTTATAGCTGAGTCATTGTTTAACGTGTTTGGGCGGTTAGGGATAACGCAGATTCGTCAATATCGCACCTAAATGACGATCTGTGGGTGCCGCAAACGCGACCACTGATATTGAACCTCACGGTCTTGAAATTATTATAAAACATACTGTACTGTTCGAATTCTACATAATATATATCGATTAGAATCCAACCTTTATATTATTATAATTGGAAGGAGCTTAAGGTCGGACGCAAAATCCATGTCCAACACAAAATGATCTCGGGCTTAATGTTTTGCCTGCTACGTCCTTCATCACTCCGACACAGAGGTTGCGTCTTGTAATTTCGTTCTGAGCACCATGGATTAGCTAATTTACAGTATGCGAATACCTGATAAGGAAGTAGTCCGAAAGAGGCCGGAAACTCACATATATATCTTATAATTAATAGCCGGTTAGAGTAGGTACGTATTATCATTTTTGGTCCGATCTTCAGACCTGAGGTTCAACCTATTAACTCAAGGCTACATTCTAGTTACAGTTACGAGATCTAATAACCACTTAATATCAGGAGTGTCGTGATCTTATTTTCTACTCAACCGCAGCAATGCAAATCGGATCTTTGCACTGCATTATTTTCATATGCATATCCTGCCTATCTGCAGCAATGCAAACTGGGTCTTTAGACTGCATTATTTTCATACGCATATTCTACCCATCTGCAGCAATGCAAACCGGCTCTTTAGACTGCATTATTTTCATACGCATATTCTAAATGCAAACCGGGTCTTTGGACTGCATTACTTTCATATGTATATTCTACACATCTGCAGCAATGCAAACCGGGTCTTTGGACTGCATTACTTTCATACATATATGGCGAAAACTAGTTAGTATGTATTCTGTAATAATTCAACTCTTTTGGTTATGCACCACATTGGATATCAGAAAAACATAGCCTTGCTAATTATTTTAATTATTATTTAGTGAAATTGGCACTTTAAAATGACACTTCTCATCTATACTTCTATAGTAATATATAAATTTACAGTGGTTTTTACGGATGTTCCGTTATAACTATTGACTGAACCATGCATCCGATTGACTTGAAACTTGGTATCCATGTAGAAAATACATGTACTTAATGGATAAGCATTTCTAAGAGTGTTGGACTCCCTAATAATAATGACAAGAAATAATAATGTTAATTTTAAATGCCCAGCGAAGCGGGCGAGTACGGCTAGTTTGATTATATTTATGTATTTAATTACAACATTTACGTCTTTAATTATAAAAAAATAAACTCAAGTACTAATCACGTGAGGTTCGTCACGGCGCGGCGTACAAATGTACATGTTGTTGTTTACGTGATAAATGAGTTAGCACAGATGGTCAGGTGAAATGTTTAGCAGTTGTAATTAAAGACCATAGACAAGACAAGTTCATGAGGTCCTTGAGTAACGAGACTAATGCTTTGAGTTAATGTCGGCAAACGTTCAACTAAGAAATATACATTAACATAATTTCATTGGAATCGAAATTTTTGTCGTAAAATATTATATTGAAATGTGTAGGTATTGAAATATAAATTATTAGTAATAAATTATATTTCACAGGGAAGTTGTTCAACTAGTATTTCTTCGGTTTTTGCGAGTTGTAAACGTAATTAAAACAAAATTTTCGATTGAAGCTCGTTTGTCTGATCTAAGAGTTGTTAAACTTGTAATGTCAATTTGTTATGTTTTACGAGTTGTTTTAACATTTAACCTCACTAAAATCCCGGTTCATAGAGAGCTGATTTGATTATAGACTTGGAAAATACTCTGAATGCTTCAAACATATCATATTATTATCGAGTCTACGAGGTAGGTCCTTATCTCGGAAATAAGGTCGAGTTTGATTGAACACGCGATAAATCAGTTTTTTCTTAATACAAATCTACACGAAATTACATCACATTTTTTCACAATTACGGAAGACTGGTAGACGCGGGTTACTGATGTCCATCGCAGTAATTGTCCACACTAATTTTGAGGCATGAGGCTGATGTCTATTTTACTATAAAAGAATAGGATTTTATAATTTAAAACCAGTATGTATGCACATGCCGTCTAGCGGTGTAGGCTTATCTCAACAACTTCGTAATGATTCGAGATATAATTATTATAAACTTAATTTTTTACATGACATGTTATGTAGCCAGCTCTCCAGGACTGCAGTTATTCGCCTATATGTTTTTTTTTATTTAACAACACTGCTCACAAAGTTGACCTGAACATGTGAACCTTTACGATCGAGTTAGTAAAATTCTTGAAGTTTTTATACATGAAGACTTAGTGGTGAAAGACAAAGAAGATAGAACGTATTTTATTAATTCCGTTTTATTCCCGACATTGGCATTCCAAAATCTATATTTAAAACAAATGCTTTAGATAAGCGAACTTTAGATAAAAAAATAAAAAATGTGTTTTTTTTTAAAAGTTCAATGTCGATGCAAAAGAGAAAAAGTAATACCTAAATTGAATTTAAACCTTAAGATGTCAGTAATTATCCTACAGCGCTAGTCCATAAACAGCTTCCTGGTCGGAAAACGAAAAAACCCAAAGACGTATGTATATGTCTATAAAAACTTAAAGATGAATCTTAGGAAAAAAACTTTGCTACCAACGTTAAATGGTATTGCATAACCTAGCCGCGTACCAGAGCATTTACAGCCGTTTCCAAGATTCGTCCGTGGTAATACTTTCCATACCTATTGTTCATTACCAAGATCCATAGTATCGTGCTGATACCTTCTTTAACTTTGAATTAAGCCCGGATGCACACGGCACGAGCGAGGAATGCATTTATTTTTGCAGCATTTTTATCTTGGTAACTTAGCCTTAGCATCGGATGAGCCGTTCGAACGCCTGCCCAGGACTCGATACCAGGCTAGTAAAGCCACGATACTCAATAGCAACGCGTTTAAATTGCTTATATTTTGGTTGCTGCATAGAAATTCGCGTACCTACTGGTGGTAGGACCTCTTGTGAGTCCGCACGGGTAGGTACCACCGCCCTGCCTATTTTCTGCCGTGAAGCAGTCTTGCGTTTCGGTTGAAGGGCGGGGTAGCCGTTGTAACTATACTGAGACCTTAGAACTTATATCTCAAGGTGGGTGGCGCATTTACGTTGTAGATGTGGGCTCCAGTATCCACTTAACACCAGGTGGGCTGTGAGCTCGTCCAATCATCTAAGCAATAAAATAAAAAAAACCTAACTATCGGTGTGCATGAAAAAACGTAATTTAACATAATTCTAAACAACATCTCAACATAATTCTATAGTCACGGTGGTAAACTCAGCACAACAATCGCCTAAAAAAAACCTTTATTTGAACACGTTCAAGGTTCCTTCGGGTTCGTGTTACAACAACGATCTAAGTCTCTGGTGTCACGATTTGTGACATCAAGCTAAACTGCGCCACACTTCGGATGTTGTTTTCTATACTATCTATAGTCTATACTAATATTATAAAGAGGAAAGATTTGTTTGTTTATTTGTATTAAATAGACTCCGAAACTTCTGAACCGATATTAAAAATTCTTTCACTATTTGAAAGCTGCACTATCCCTGAGTGAGATAGGCTATAATATATTTTTTTAAATTAGGGATCCTTGTCGTAAATAAAACTGCATTTATTTAAGGAAAACAATGAGACGTCTTATTTTTTCCAATTTGAGAAATATATTTCATTGCTTTAACAAAGTTTAGTTGTTCAAATCGTATGCATAGGTACCCTGAACAATCATAATTTATTTTCAGTAACAAATTTAATTCTAATGCTTTTTATGTTGTGTAGGATTTTTTTTTTAATAAATGTTGTTTTGAGAGGAAATCAAACGCGAAGAATGTCGTCTTGTCTCTTTTATCCGCCTAATTACTGCTGGTTAAAGGTATCGTGACAGGAAAATTAGAATTAGAAATAATTAACATTAAAAATCAGAATGATATTTTAAACTAATTTTTGATTCACGGACATAAGTCCCAGAAAGACGACCTCATTTTAATTGATAGGAACTCATTTGCCGACTCGAAAAACTAAAACGAATTTAGGTTTAAAAACGCTATTTCAGCAGGAATTCTCACGGATCGTTTGGAATCTCTGGGTCTGCGGAGGGACTTCGGCACCCCCTGTTTTTTGCACCGTATGTTCCATGGAAAGTGCTCTAAGGAATTGTTTGAGATGATACCATCATTCATTCATACTACCTGGAGCTACTGCGTTCATCCACAGTGCATTTCCAGAGATATTTTTCTCCACGTACGACACGGCTTTGGAATGAGCTCCCCTCCTCGGTGTTTCCCGAGCGCTATAACATGTCCTTCTTCAAATAAGGCTTGTGGAGAGTGCTTAATGGTAGGCAGTGACTTGGCTTTGCCCCTGATATTACTCACAGCCATGAGCAACAGTAACCACTCACCATCAGGTGGGCCGCATGCGCGTCTGCCTACACGGGCAATAAAAAATAATAATAATAAAGATATGTAAATAAAACTGGTCTAACGATGTAGGATAGATAAACCTTTGAATATTAAAGGCAATAAAAAATAAATAAATATGATTTAGTTGAAAATCAGTATTCAAATTAATTTACAAATGTATTCATTAGACTATGTTATCTACCTGCCAATGTTAAACAATTAACATTTATCTTTTGAGATTTAAAATTTAAATTCGGAGAATTAACAGGTTTTAAGGGCCCTCTTCTCAAAAACCTATATTTGTGTAAAATTTAAATTTTATTGCCATATTTTTTTTTCTTGTTACGTATGAAAGTTAATGTGAGGAGGGGACGTCCTAAAAGGACTTGGATGGACGGTATGAAAGAAGTTGGAAGTACGAGAGAAGGGTGTGAGTACAGTGATGACGTTATGATAGGCCTGAATGGAAAAAGAGAACACTTTGTGCCGACCCCACCTTTTGGGGTATTTTTTCTTGACTGATCTGATTGCCATGATATGGTTTAATTTGCTGCTTAAATGGATATCCGTTCGCTCCTATAAAACCTGCTACTTACAAGCCTTACTAGATAGTCTAATATACATTTTTCGGTTTTACACTACCCAACCTCGATCTTCTCTTTTGTTTAATAAATAATATCGCAATGGAAATTAGTGAAGACGGAGAAACAGAGCACGGGTGCTCGTGCTTTGACGTAGGAGCACCCACAACTCTGATTATCTCCCGTCCCCAAAAAAAAATATATGTAACGAAAAGCCACCAAACACATTAGCCAGAGAGAAGTCAATCGTGAACATTTGTTAAGTACGTGTTTCATTAGAAAAAATGGTACCCGCCTGCGGGATTCGAACACCGGTGCATCGCTAGATACGAATGCACCGGACGTCTTATCCCTTAGGCCACGACGACTATTATTTCCATAGTGCATCATACTACCAGATCGCAATCCCGTTAATGTTAAACTGATTCTGAAGTTGTATTCCGTAATGTATAGGTATGTTGTATAAGCAGATGACCCCAAATAAAAACTTGAAAAGCCCATAAATGAGGATCATATATGTATACATATATTACCGATAAACAGAAAATATTCTAGAAAAAAAAATGTAATTTAGTTATTGTAATGAATGTGAATATATTCATGAGACAAAGAGATCCGTCGTAACGAAAAAAAAATTGTTTTAATGGAGAACAATAATTTTAATTTACATAATATATACTGTTTTATGTAATGGTAGGTAGTGTCTTTTTTTATGCATTTCAGTTTTTTTATTATAATAAACGTACCTTTTACGATAAATACATACTTATTTTGATGTCTTGTAGAGGTACTGATGAATTAAAAAAATTTTTACAAAATCCTGAATCGCGTAAACGATTTTATTTTAAAAGACATTATACATCTGCGCAAGTTCCGTACAGCAACTTTTCAATCGTAGACACGACATGAGAACCCTCTTGACGTGGCCGCTGGAAACTACATACCCGATCCTGTAGACCGAATGGTAAACAGTCGACGTCGCCCAAAGCACGTCATTACGGATCCTCCCGATCCATTAACGGTGCTTTTAGGCACCACAAGCACCGGTCACCGTCCTCGTCGAACCCGTCGCTTGCGACGAAGGGGCCGACGAGCGAATTAGCCCATAGACACAGCCCACTGAGTTTCTCGCCGGATCTTCTCAGTGGGTCGTGTTTCCGATTCGGTGGTATATCCTGCGAAGCACTGCTCTTGCTAAGGTCAGTGTTAGCAACACTCCGGTTTGAGCCCCGTGAGCTCACCTACAAGTTAGGGTGAAGCTGAAATAGCCTCTCAAGGCTATCAGCATAGGTAGGAAAAAAAAGTCAATCGTGTGCCCACTGCAAATAGGTACAAACTCGTTGAGTGTTCATCTTTTTGTAGTTTTAGTTTGGTTTTATTGTATGTGTATGTATCCAAGCTTATTTATTTGCCTCTAACCGTTGCGATATAACGAAGTTTATTTACTATGTGCAGAGGAAAGTCAAATATTGAGCTTTGTTATCAAACAAGGCAACAAACCATAAACCGGTTTACCATAGCGATTCATTTTAACAATACTTATTGTATTATAATAACCACAATTTAATCAAGTTATTTAATTTTTTATCCAATTACGCACTACATTCATTGTCCATTTGATTTATTTATTTATTTATTATTGCTTAGTTGGGAGGACGAGCTCACAGCCCACCTGGTGTTAAGTGGTTACTGGAGCCCATACACATCTACGACGTAAATGCGCCCCCCACCTTGATATATAAGTTCTAAAATCTCAAGTATAGTTACAACGGCTGCCCCACCCTTCAAACCGAAACGCATTACTGCTTCACGGCAGAAATAGGCAGGGTGGTAGTACCCACCCGCGCGGACTCACAAGAGGTCCTACCACCAGTAATTACGCAAATTATAATTTTGCGGGTTTCATTTTTATTACACGATGTTATTCCTTCATCGTGGAAGTCAATCGTGAACATTTGCTGAGTACGTATTTCATTAGAAAAATTGGTACCCGCCTGCGGGATTCGAACACCAGTGCATCGCTTCAACACGAATGCACCGGACGTCTTATCCTTTAGGCCACGACGACTACTATTTCGTTTCTCATTGCTCCTGTAGATGGCATTAAAATATTTCCTATCCTATATTTTATTTTACTGAAGCATATTGTAATTTTTCTATAACAAATAGTTTTGTATGATTTTTTTTCTGTGTTTAGTTGTACACCTTAATATTAACTGCATATAAGTTTAGGGGCATCCGCTACAAGATGTCGTTAGTTGCCATACAAACAAATATTTGTCTTAAAGTATCGAAGTTTCAGGACCCTGCTGTGACCGGAGCTCTTGCGTCAGGTTAACATTCTTTAGAATCCCGCAGCTGTGATGAAGTAACATAATATATCCCTAATGGTCTCTTAAATCTATCCGTTTGCGACTAGAAAGCAACACTAACCTTCCTTTTATGTCTCTTCCAGAGAAATAAGGCAGAACATTGATATAGATCTGGACGAGGAGGCCGGTGAGCTGGAGTTCACGCCGAACATGAAGCTTCGCTTTGTGCCCGAGCAGTCGGTGGCCAGACCTGAAGATGTTATCGTCACCGTGCCCAATCTGGCTCTCTTGGTACGGACGAACTTTTAACATTATTCAGCTTTCAGACGGAGAAAATGACTAAAAGGCAACTTCCAAACATGAAATCAATAATATTGTGCCGATGCTCTAATCCTGCAGCACCAAATTGTTAACGCAATATATATGTACATAGAGGAAGAGGTAGACCTAAGAAAATATGAATGTAAGAGGGGAGTGAGCGAAGAAATGGTATATGATAGAGGAAGTATGGAAGGAGAAAACATGCTGTGCCGACCCCAGCGGACTGGGAGAAAGGCAGGAGAATGATGACGATATATGTACATACTAATCGTCAAATAAATACAATCGGCATTAATTGTTGTAATCATAAAACAGTATTGGTAACTGTCTGTATTGTGAGACCACACGAGTGGAAGCCACCATCGTGCTTATTTCTGTCACAAAGCATTCAGGATGCTTTTTGACAATTACTGGTGGTAAGACTTCTTGTGAGTCCGCGCGAGTAGGTACCACCACCATGCCTATTTCTGCCGTGAAGCAGTAATACGTTTCGGCTTGAAGAGCGCCGCAGACGTTGTACTATAATTAAAATGAGACCTTAGAACTCATCTCTCAAGGTGAGTGGCGGCATTTACATTGTAGACGTCTATGGGCTCCGGTAACCACTTAACACCAGGTGGGCCGTGAGCTCATCCATCTATCTAAGCAATAAAAAAAAACTTTGTCCTCATATATCAAGGTAAGTGCCGCCATCCTCGATGTCTATGGCTTTCGATAAACACATAGCGATAGGTGAGCTGTGAATGCGCCAATCAATTTAAAGCCTTAATAAAACTCGTGTGAGCAAAGGAAAATACTTAAGCGAACTCAAAAATACGCTCTTAATAAATCGATGGCAAAGACATAGGACTTAAAGATTTTTTATTTCATACATACAGAGTGTGGCTTCATTGGTGAGCTCCTTACCATTCTTCATTAGGAATACATTTAAACTGCTGTTCTCCACCCTCAACTGCAAGTCCATAACGACCATCGACGTATACAGCTTTCTATGGGGATACAGTGACCCTCTGATCTCGCAAGCCTACAACATCGTCCCTGGAATCGTCTACTTTGATAAATTCGGGATCATGGACAGAGTAAGTGAGATATGTGTATATTTTTATTGAGAACGAACTCTACGTCACCGACTCCGATGCTATCCGTTCCAGACACTTACTGGGCGGCCTCTACCGTTTTTATTCATTGCACCCTTACAAACTGAATACTGAGGGATGAAAAATATTTATGCAAACGATAATAGACTATAATTGAAGTCCCTTTAAGCTCCGTTTGAATAAAGTAACAGCTGAAGCTGGAACCTCAGTCAAGTCAAGGTCACATTTGCACACAGACAACTCTTGTTGCTGTCACTTCTATTTAGCAATCCGTACTGAAGAAATAGTTGAATAATTACCATATTAATTTACATGTGATCTTCTAATCATTGTGATTTTCCAGCTCTACGACAACAAGACCATTTACAGAATGAGGGTGGGAATCCGTGATGAAGACAGGTTCAGCATAAAAACTCTAAAGAAATACATGAAAAGCGATAACTGGATGAATGAAAGAGCTCTAGAAAGGTAATGCTAAATGAATTTCTACAAAATAGATCTTCTATCGCCGATAACCTAGCCAGTCTTCAATATTATAGTCACAAGTAGTACCGCGCGGCACTTTTACGCCGTTTTAAGCCGTGTTGTATAAATTTCACACACTAAGCTTGCGTTCTTAGGACCCGGAGTGAATCTGCCTCGAAGCTTGATCTTTGAGTGGGCGAGCTCACGGCTCACCGGGTGTTAAGCGGTTACCGGGACCCACAGATATCTACAACGTAAATGCCGCCACCCACCTTGAGATATAAGTTTTAAAGTCTCAGTATACTCATATAACGGCTGCTCTACCCTTTAAACCGAAACGCCTTACTGCTTCACGGCAGAAACAGGCAGGGTGGTGGTATCTACCCGTGCGGACTCACAAGAGGGTCAAGAAGTCCTACCACAAAACCGCGGTCAAGAAAGTTTTAATTCGTGGAGAAAAGTCTTATTTCTTCTATTTTTTAAATATCTTACTACTCGAGTTGCCGGATACTATAGACTACGCAAAAGTGACTAATTCGCGGACTAATAGATATCACGGGATAACATACATAAAATACCACTAAACTTATAATTTTTAGGGGTTTTAATTTAAAATTACTATGATTGACATGTATTTTCTAAGTCTAAATCTCTCGCTCGTGAGATGTACCGACCACGCTTGACACTTGGTTGGCCATAGCTCATATCCTAACGATACAAATAGTACAATCCACATTGGCGTAACACTTTAATTGGCAAGTACTTCAGTCAATGCCGTGTGCTATTTTCGCTTATGACACTAATTACGTAATTCCGTAATTATCTTATGGATGTATGCATTGTGGCAATTGAGCGTGGACTGTATTTATTGTTTTGAGATATTTATTTTACCTTTATATAACAAATTTAAAGACTGAATTTATGAGAAATATAAAATTGATGCGTTGCTCTAAGCGGCTGGATTTGAAAGAGAAATAGTGTCATGGCGGACGTCGCTCGCTGACATTTTGACGTTCAGAAATTGAACACATAATTTTCCACTAATTTTAAAATTTGAGACTGTCATCGTCAATAATTACATACATTTTTTTAATTTAATATTGGTTGCATGCAGCAGAGATGTGAATGTTGCGATGGATGTGTGGAGTAACGAGAATGGATAGAATACGGAATTAATATGTTAGAGGAAGTCTGAAAGTGGCATTTGTGACAGAGGAGTTGAAAAGTGCGCGTTTGGGATGGTATGGACATGTGATGAGACGAAATGAAAATGAGGTTGGTAAGAAAATGTTAACTATGAATATGGAAGGATATAGAGGAAGAGGTAGACTTAAGAAGAAATGGATGGATTGCGTGAAAGACGATATGGGTAAGAGGGGAGTGAGCGAAGAAATGGTATGTGATAGAAGAGTATGGAAGGAGAAAACATGTTTGCGGCGACCCCAGGTGACTGGGAGAAGGGCCGGATAATGATGACTTTTTGAATTGAATACTTGATCAATGGATCCCGAACGAATAAAAGATAAAGCAGTTCTGTTGTGTTCGTACCCTATAAGTCCGCTACATATTATGTACGTTTCCAGTTGTATAAAATAAGAAAAATATTTTTTCCGTAAGATGTATTACCAACGTACAATAGCGAATGCACACAAATAGGTGCTTTTTGACATAAAGTAAAGACCGACGAAATTCAAAGAATCGATGAGAAGATCGGGCCAGTTTTGTAATGTTCTCGATCGCGTAAAATTAACTCAAATTTGCATGCAGTTTAAACAGCGCCCTTAGCGGCAAACGTAGGCAAGCGTTCCAACTCCATACAAATTCGAGTTAACTTTTACGCTATCGAGAACGTTAAAAAACTCGCGCTAAGCACACAAGTTGTAGTTGATGCGTGTGAGTAGGAGATGTATGGAAATGGTAGTGCAAGGTAGAGGAGGAAGAGGTCGACGGAAGACGAGGATGGAAGGAGTGTGTGAATGACGATATGAGAGAGAGAGAGTATTGAAATGACGGCTGATAGAAGAGAATGGAAAAAAAATTCGCTGTGCCAACCTCACCTAGTGGGATAAGGTGGAGACAAAAAAGAAGAAGCACACAAGTTATACAAACAACTTTACGCTATGAACGAATTAAATCACATCAGTGATTAATTGAAAATTTTGCTTCAAGCTACAAATACAAGAACACATACGAGGGAGCAGCCTATCCACCGGGGCTCAATGTGGAGACTCCGATCAACATCTACCGGCTGGGAGTCTGCAGAGAACTGAATCTTGAGTTCCACGGAACAAAGAACATGGAATATGGAGGCGATGCCTGGATATACAGAATCAGTAATGAAACATTTAACAGGGATTGTGGCGCAGGGGTCTGTGGGATGATGGACCTCTCTAGTTGTACTTACGGTAAGAGATTGCTAGTTCATGATTGTTATCCCTCCTGTACTACGTTGTGATTGGATCGTTTTTTAATGCATCGATTGATACTCCCGTATCATTGTTACAGAGTAGAACTCTCAAAAAAAAATATTAACGGTGATACATTTATAAAGATAAGGTTTTTAATGGCGGACGATTTTTAATTTCTTTAAACGGTAAATTCTTCGGCAAAGCAATCTTAGATTCCGGCTTAGAGGAAACAATAATATGGCTCGATTATTTGTTGTTTCTATTTCACAAGGTGCTGGCTACCAGCGGCAATGAGCTCAGATTAACATCTACAATTTATACCACCTTATCTTTTTTAAATGACTAGCCATTTGCACGAAAGAAAACAGAGATACAAACTAGTTGTTTTTTAATTATTAGGTATTCCTATAACGATGTCCAGGACTCACTTCCTCGACACAGACCCGAAGATATATGAGCGCATCAAGGGCATCAATCCAGATCCTAGTAAACATGATAGTCACTTTCTATTAGAGCCTGTAAGTATTGACTTTTGAACTATCGGATACAGCGCTGTAAGCTGAACTCTTCGTCACAGGGACGCTAGTACATTTCGACTTATTTATGGAATCAAATGAAAAGTATTTTTATTCATGTAAGCTTTTCATAAAGACGCTTTCAAATACTTATGATTTTAGTGCCGGTTCCGAAAGCAATTTCACCCCGGAGAAGAATCGGCAAGTACATAGTCCGATATTTTTAAATAAATCTAGTTTACCACAATTAGATTTTAAATAGCTGTGCTTGGCAATATTGAAACTTAATAAGTTACAGAGTTTAAAGGGGGCAAGCGCCCGGTATACCTACTTCAATTCGAGTAAACATGTGAGTGACATTGCTAACGTCTTGACCCCATGGGCATCATTTTAGGAGATACTTAGTATAGGCTTCGAAGGACTCCAACAACGAAGCAATAAAACATAGTGGATTAAAAATATATCCTAAAAAGATTATTTTATATAGCTAATAACTGGTTGTAGTGCGTACTGTTAGACCGTACGGGTAGGAAAATCACTTTCCCGTTCCGAATTAATGAGTGAAACTATCCAATAAAATAGTAATTTAATTTTCCAATAGCAAAATACAGTCACAAATAATTTTGTTAAAGACGTTGCGTATTCACTAAGTAGTGTAGTGTTTGCTTGTTTTTCTCTCCTGTGCGATTACAATAATAAACAACACAGGAGAAAATAATATTTACCTTTTCCAGAACATTGGGATATCGCTCTCTACATCGCTGTCGCTACAAATGAATATGAACTTGGCTGATTTGAGGTTTAGTGATAAAACTGAAATGTTTTCCGACTTGGTTCTGCCGGTTGCTTATATAAAAGTTGTAAGTATAGAACTCCGTTACAATTTTAAAATAAAGGAATAACATCGTGAAACAAAAAAAACACGTGTGGCACTCGGGGACTGCCGCGGTAAAGCTATTGCAAAGCATTTTTTATCAACTTATGCAATTACAATTAGACAATAATAATTTAATATTAAAACAATAATAAAAATAAGACCACGCTATATTTAAAAACATTAACAAAAGCAAAACATTAACTGTCGCCTTCACACTCATAAGCTAGACCGCGTGAAAGAGAGATGGGCAGACTTTTCATGATGCTCATGCAGTGCGACGTCACGCCGCGCGTTTATCCACAAACATTACACCAGCGTAACGTGTGAATGTGTTGAACGCGAGCTACATAGTAGGCGTAGTGGGGGTGTCAGGTTATTTTCGTTACGGAGTTTCTTGATTCAGTCGCCGCGCTCAAAGCCCGCGATAAAAGCTATGCAATAGCTTAAAATCAAACCCGTACAGAATCTAATTTGAGTAATTGCTACGGATAAGGCGTCTTTTGATCCAGCCCGGGTAGGTTTCACGACCTTGCCTATTTCTGCCGCGAAGCAACGGTTTGAAAGATGAGGCAGCCGTTATACTACAGATTTAGAACACATGTCTCAAGGTGGGTAGCTGTATTTACGTTGTTGATGTCTATGGGATATGGTAACCACTTAACACCAGGTGGGCCATGAGTTTGTTCAACATAAATATTCTCTGAAGTTGCAACAATAATTAACTAATCGGATATCCGACGCTCAACGTGTGGACCGACAGTTTGCAAATATTCGGACTAGACCGATATTATTAGTTAAGTACCAATTGTCGTGGCACAATCAACTATAACTATTGTTCCCCCGGTAGTCGAAATTCGACTATAATTAATTGAAATTATAGGTTTGTACACTATTATGATTCTATTGTCAAAGACTTTTATAATCACAGATTTCGCCAAGATTACACTTTAGACAAATATTGTTAAAGACAAACAATATTTAATCTATTCTCAATTTGACCACAGACTACGAGTATAAGCAATAAGAAAAGTTTGATAATAAACAAATACCTAGTATGCGTGTGTGTGTGTCAAATACATGGTAGTGTGTGTAATGTTTCTAATATTATTATTTTAATATATATTTTTATGCATAGTTTAAAAAAACATTAACATTCTGCACTCCTCCTCTATATTCTCTATAAGTGTGGGAAAAATACTTCTCCGTCCGCGCAATTTTCGTAAAAAGGGGTACAAAGTTTTTGCTTCACATATTAATATATAGATGCTTGCAGGTCCAACAAGATGTTTTTGACACGCTGAACGGAATTCTGAGAACCATTCACGTAACGGCGCCGATCACATTAATATCAATTGAAGTGACAATGTTCCTAATTGCAGTAGCTATTTTGGCGTATTCCGGACTATTGCTGTACAGAAGAAGTAAATGTAAAGCCAAGAAAAAGGCTTATGCCAAGTTAAATTTAAGACAAAACCTACCTTTAATACAGTGTCAACTTAAAAAGACGTAATTAAAAAAATTGTCATCGTTCAGTCTCGGGGACTTTTTCACGACTTAGACAATACTTTTAGTAAATCAGTTTGTCAGTCTGTGTACTCGCGGAAGATAAAAAGTAAATTAAGTTTCTTGTTAAGTTTTTCGAATAGATTTTCGTTTTTGTGCCAAATGCATTACAGTGCATATTATATTGTAAATGATATTATTAGGTAGTTAAACATTAGAACACTCTTTCTGGTTTAAGCGTTATTTTGTGGTCATGTGGTTTTTTTGTTCAATTATTTCTTCATCTATATGAGGCAGTCAGCGCAAAAGTCTCCTAAGCTTATCATAGTTAGTATGGAGATAATGAGGGTGGAATTTATTTTTACACTGCTTCGTAGGCAAAAACATTACGCGCAAAAATAATGTTTACAAGGCCATCTGTTCTTTATGGGGGAGACTATGGATAATTCGGTTTTGCCTTAAAATTGATTATGTTCTAAATATTATATATAAGCGCGAATATGAAAAAATGTGGGTTAGGTCACTTTTGCACTGACGATCTCATATATCTTCATGATGCCGACACTGTCAATGCCACGATAAGTAATATAATCTCGCGATTATTTTCGTGTACTAGCCCAGACGTGCAGACAGCTCGGCCTGTCCAGTGTTAAGTGTTTACCGGATTTTATAGACAGCAGAATGTGAATACAGATCGACCTCTGACCTGTCGATGTATGAACACATAGTTCAGATGCCTCAGAAGTTGCACCATGTTCAACGTCCAAGATCTGTGTTATGTGGATCTGTGTTGGATGTTACACAGAACGCTCAATTTTTATTGTGTAGCTGTGCTTATTTTAAGCGGTCGAATACTTCTGTCGAGAATAATTTTGTTAATGAGAATATTTTGAATTTTACTAAAATATATTTTTAACAATTTAAGTTTTATGATTGCATTTATATAATTTTCCTCGTCTGCATTTTCGGTTTTTTTTTAATACGAAAAAGACATCACATTAGTAAGTAAAATATGTTTTGTAGCAAAACTTTAATTTTAATAGTTGAATAATTGTATGATAAAGATCTCTTATTTTCCTTGCTTATTGTTTTATTTCACAAAATTTTAATTACTACATTCCTAATAATAATAAATTATATTTCATTTGCTACAAGATTCTGCAACAACAAATATTTTGGTGATGTAAGTCTCCTTAGCCTTGCGCCGCGTGGAGATATTTCCACAAAAATGTAGTATCTACATAAAATAGATATGTATACTTGAACAAAATACACATGTTTTCTTTTTATTATTGTCCTTGTAGGCAATCGAGCATACGGCCCGCCTGATGGTGAGTGATTACCGTCGCCCATGGACGTCGGCAATGCCAGGGGCAGAGCGAAGCCGCTGTCTACCGAAAATATTCCTATATAAATATTCTATTATTTCATTTTACTAGATGACTGAACGCGTTCTTGGCGGTTTTGCCTGTCATATTGTTCACAGAGCCCATAGACATAAGCAGGGGGTGTGACAATATAGAGTTAGATAGTAACCAACATAGTGTCTGTTGATTGCACAAGCAGAACAATTAATTGGCAGCAGATATATTGTGAGGAAACCAATAAACACAGTAAAAACAGACTCATAAAGTTTTAATCATTGAAAATGGCACATAATAATTTGAGTTTAATGTAGGTACTAAAATAAGTAAGTCGCTTTGCTATAAACATAAACGTTATACGTTTATACATTATATTAATATCTATCTCACAGTTATTTCCTTGATTTTTTAATTCCCTGTTCCGGTCCACATCTCTCTTCTGACCACCTGACAGTAGCAGAATTGTTGAGCCACCTACATACGAAAGATATTTAAAAAATCTCCCTAATAAAACACTAGATCGTGATTTCGAATTTAGCTTTTAAACTTGATCCCTTACATTTTAAACACTTCGGAGACCGTCTAGATCTATCTATAAGAGTGAGAACTATCGTCACTATAAGAATCCTCATAGCTGTCATAGTACTCGTAGCTACTGATGTACTTTCTTCTCTTTAATCTTCTTTTATCATTCCTTATCATTTTCCGTATTGTATTAGGCGAAGGATGATCATGATGCACTGGCTCAAAATACGCTCTGGCGGGCACAATTATTGGTGGCATTTGATAAACTGGTATTGGATACGTCATGTAATTGGGTTTGTCAACTGGTTTTGGCAGTGTTGGACGGTGTTTTGGTTCTTGTGCTTCGTTTCTCCTTGTCATTAGCTCCGTGACATCCGGCTTTATTATTTTTCGGCTGATATCTTTATTTTCATTTTGATCTACATTGTCAACTTTTGGTAACCCATTTGGTAATTTTAAGTCCATTTCAAAAATATCAGCTAGATTTAATTCTTGACTGTTGAATAGCGACATAGTGTTCAAATCTAAACCATTTTTTATGTTTGAACATCTAATTTGCCTTACTATTAATACGAATGACAATATTGTACCAAATCTTTCCATGCTTGTCGAGAAATGATTTGTAGTTAGATTTATTCCGTCTGGTATATGATTACATAAGCATGAATAGCCTATTCTAGTTGTATAAGAATGGAAGTATTGTGTGGTAAGTCATGTTTACAAATTATTTTTTGCTGAGGGAACAAAATAGATTATAATTCTGGGAATTCTGGGAATAGGAAACGTTCTATTCTCAAAGATAGTGATTGCACTGATTATTATATTAAAAATCTATTTTTATAGTAAATTCGTTTACAATTCTACATAGTAATTAATTTTATATCTTTCATATTTTCCCATCTCGGTCGCCGTTGTTTTCTTGATCTATCACATTAATTCTAACTGCTTTAGCAAGCAGCGCAAGCACAGAAAAAGTTAAACGTTAAAAGAAGTCCACTTTCTTTACATGTATTTTGTACCCGCCATCCTAACTAATTATATGTGGCGGATAGTCATCACACAACACAAGATATTCAAGCTCCGAATACCAACATTTGGACCGTCGCCGCGTCGGTCTACCGAGCAATATCACCCGCTCGGTGGATGATCTTCCCTCCGTCGTTAAACATTCCAAATATCTAATAAAATCGTCACAAATAAATAGTAATAGATAAATACGCTTTACTGTACAAAATATAAAAAGCACTAAAATTTGTCCACAACCGTACTAGCAGGAAGTAATGCGTCAAAAACTTTTTTTTTAAATCAACAACTACTTTATACCTGGTCTTCAACGGCTTTCGTAATACAGCAATTGCATTATGTTAAATAATCAAACTGAAAGAATAGTAAACCTTGATGGGTACCATCATACTGGTGAACTCAAGCGCGGTTATGTGTTCCGGCTTACAGAGGAGGCCAGCCACTATTTATGATCCATAATAACGAGACTACCATCTGATGTTTCAAGGTTGATTCTAGCATTCGCATTTTTTCATCTACAGGCTCCCATAAACAATTAACACCAAATGCCATCCAAATGCACTATGAGTATCCACGATAAAAGAATAACATCGTGTAATAAACATAAAATTCGCAACTGACTCATGTCTCAGGATGAGTAGCGGATTCAAGTTGTGATAGCTATGTCTCTCTATGTCCATCTAGAGCGATAGAAAAAAAGTGGGAAAGTGTGCCCATCACTTCCAGTAGAATAAAGGTAGGAAGAAGAATTTTGCTTAGTCATGATCACCATGCTCGTATTACAGACTCTCAAAGACGTAAAAACATATGATTATACAGTTTATTTGTTTAAAAGAAAAAAAGGTTATAAAAATAACAAAAGCAAACAAAAGTATGTACCTTAAACTTAATCTACGTTAAAAGTAAGAGTCATATTTGTAATACGCTTATCGCCAGCAGGATGAAAAACCACCTTTCTATGGCCTTTATCTAAGATATGGTTCGATATATCTTTCCGTAAAACTCCCCTACTCCCTCTGTCTTTGTGTTCTTCATCTTCAAAAACAACTCTAGATTTCGAAATTCCTTTATTCCTAGATTTAAGTACTTTACCATTTCTACGTTCTCCAAGTAATCTGGCCGCTTCATCAGAATTTAAACGTTTCTGTAGTTTCACATCGCCGTTTCTTGAGATGTATGATAAGACGGGTTTAAGTAGCTCGTCATCACTGGTGTCTGTCTCGTCTCTATCGATGTTTCTTCTGCTATCACGTAAGCGTCTGTTTTTTAATCGTCTCCCATCCCTCCTGTAATCACGGTCTGATGAGCCACAGGAGTCGTAGCTAGTATCTGAACTTGATTCATCACTATATCCATTCCTAGGTCTGTTTCCAACTGGCGATGGCGGAAATGGTACTATAATTGCTGGTGGAGGTATCACCATGCCTGGAGAGGGATACATAGCTGGCATTTGCATCGGCGGATTTGGAGGTAAAGGTGTAGGCGTGTCTTCGGAACTTCGACACCTACATTTCAGATGACACGGAGAGCAATAGGAGAAGAAAGCTGGGGTGCAAGACGGAGTACACAAACAAGGAGGACAAGGTGGGCAGTTTTTCGGTCTTGGCGTATTTTGGCAACTTAGTTGAGCTGGCATGGCTGGTACAGCTATTTGTACTGGCATAGGCATAGGAAAAGGAAAGGCTATTGCCACACTAGCTTCTGTAGTTGTAGTCGTTGTGGTTGTTGTGGTTGTTGTGGTACTTCTTGTTGCAGGCGGCAGTTGAATGACTTGTACTGGCAGCATTACAGGTGGAGGTGGCACAGCAAATATTGTCTGCACTGGATACATTGACATCGGTATCTGGAGGTCTGCCATCCATATTCTTGATAATAATAGTAATGTCATCCATAGGCGAGGTATCTATTAAAAAGAAGTTGAATTAATAAAATATACTTTGTAATTATTTTTATTTTTCCATAGATAAAATTATATTATACTCGTACATAATGCTGTCACCCATTTCGAGGTATGAGTGAATCTGCAGTACATACATATGTTGTAATATTATAATTTAAAGTACCAATTTGTGGCAGAAACTACCGTGAGTTTGTACGATGAAATTAGTCGGACTAGAGGGTGGTGGTTTTCCCCAATAATTATAGATACCCTGGCACGGCGGTACCGACATTAATAACTACAAGGATTGAATAAATTATAATTTTAATCACTTACATTAATCATTTTACTAGCGCTCTATGACCGTCTCACGATTAATCTCAACATTTTCTCCATTGCACTCTTTATATTAACACGTGTTTTCTTACATAACAAAATTGCATTGTGTGGGAATTCAGTTGGCGTCGATTAATATTTGTATGGTACTTGATATTTTATGGCTTAGCTGAGCGATAATATTGAAATTGCTTATTTATGATTCTGGCACACGAGAGGTCGACTTTAGAGTCAACCGTTGCTAATTTCTGATGGGTATATGAAGGGCCACCCGACATTACGGGCCGTTTTTGGACCCTATTGACACCGCAATGGTTGGAATATGAGGTCAGTCTCGATTCCAATTGAATAGGGGCTGCTCTACACTTACGTTTTTAGGAACTGCGACATATTGCCCGACACATCGACTCTTGGAATCATTTGTGTTTGCCTCTTGTATCTAGATTGTTTTTTATTGCTTACATGGGTGGACGAGCTCTCAGCCCACCTGGTGTTAAGTGGCTACTGGAGCCCATAGATATTTACAACGTAAATGCGCCACCCACCTTGAGATATAAGTTTTAAGGTCTCGGTATAGTTACAACGGCTGCCCCACCCTTCAAACCGAAACGCATTACTGCTTCACGGCAAAAATAGTCTGGGTGGTGGTACCTACCCGTGCGGACTCACAAGAGGTCCTACCACTAGTAATTACGCAAATTATAATTTTGCGGGTTTGATTTTTAATACACGATGTTATTCCTTCACCGTGGAAGTCAATCGTGAACATTTGTTAAGTACGCATTTCATTAGAAAAATTAATACCCGCCTGCGGGATTCGAACACCGTTGGATCGCTAGATACGAATGCACCGGACGTCTTATCCTTTAGGTCACGACGACTTCAACTTACTGGGCCTACACACTGGTTATATATTTCTTGTCGATTAGGATTCATATGCAAACATAGTGTAAAAAATTATAATGTACATAAATTAAATAAATATGACATCTGTCCGTTCTAGCCTTGGAGATGGCGGCTCCACGTCATGCCAGAAATACTGTTGCTCCTAGAAAATATCAGTTGAGGATCAATGTCAGTCTGCACTATTGGGTCTCACCATCCTGCCTGTCTCAGTTAATATTATGTGTTCCTTTATTTAAGAATGGGGACGGCATTTTTGCAATATCAATTCACTGTACTTTTAGTCTATTGATCTGTTGCGATTTTTACGGTATAATCTCTCTCTGTAAATGAGTTTCGATGATCACTACAAAGTTCCAAATATATAAATACTTAATTAGCACCAGATGCGGCGTGTGTTCATATAATAATATTATGCTGATTGACAATATGGAAGGAAATACTAAATGACATTAGTTTAATATATTAATCTGACCACGTCCCTGATCTCTAAAGAGAATGATGCCGCTGAAGATCAAGCTTGCTGGAATAATTTCGTTAGCAGAATAGTGTTATTACATGGAAATCACAACACTCATTACTGACGAACGTACGTAATATTTTTTTTATTGCTTAGATGGGTGGACGAGCTCACAGCCCACCTGGTGTTAAGTGGTTACTGGAGCCCATATACATCTACAGCGTAGACGCGCCACCCACCTTGAGATACAAGTTCTAAAGTCTCAGTATAGTTACAACGGCTGCCTTACCCTTCAAACCGAAACGCATTACTGCTTCACAGCAGAAATAGGCAGGGCGGTGATACCTATCCGCGCGGACTCACAAGTGGTCCTACCATCAGTAAAGTAAGCGTCAATCACCGTTGAATATATTTTATTTACGTTATATCGATTTTCGTCTTTGGCAAAATCTTTTTGTTTATCCCTGCAATTAATTACTACTCTCCTATTCCTTCATTTTCTTCATGTTACTATTAACTTAGCCAACTACAAACTTCTGTATACAATTAATTTAAACATCACATACAACGTGAATGTCACCATCCTATTAGAGACACAAGATTGAAGCTACAATTGTATTGAATATAGACACAGACACCATTCATTTTCTGGTACGCATGACCAGACAGAATAGATTTTGTTATATGGTAAGCAGAATAAGGAATCGTACTTAATACACTATATTGTTTTAATCATTTATTGTTAGTACAAAAATATAAAACAATATAAATACAATTACTTCGGAANCACCATCCTATTAGAGACACAAGATTGAAGCTACAATTGTATTGAATATAGACACAGACACCATTCATTTTCTGGTACGCATGACCAGACAGAATAGATTTTGTTATATGGTAAGCAGAATAAGGAATCGTACTTAATACACTATATTGTTTTAATCATTTATTGTTAGTACAAAAATATAAAACAATATAAATACAATTACTTCGGAAGCTGTGATTTTGTTGATTTTACAGAACCTGTTTTCTGAAAATGCTTCTTGGGACCAGACCTTTCAGCCGCAACTTCTGTTTTAATGACCTTTCTTCGTATTTCGTTGTTGTCTTCGATACTTGAGTCTTTGTCTGTGTTCATTTCTTCAATTTCTTTCCCATCGAATGTTTCTGCTTTTTTTTCACCGAGCCAACTTTTAGCTTCGCCTTTAGATATTTTCTTTTCATATATTACGTAACCATCCTTGGTGACATATTGCAGTATTGGAGTAAGGAGCTCTTTTTGGTTGCTTCTTCTTTTGTTTTTCCTCATTCTGTGTCTCTTCAAAAACCTTCTGGTGTTCTTACCTCGACCGATACCTTTATTCCACCAACTTTTTTCTCTAGAAGTATCACTAGATCTTGATGAGTCAGAACCAGTTGTATCAGTAAAGATTTCATCACTATCAGTTGTATCAGTATCGGTATCAGTATCAGAGTAATCTGTACCAGTACTGGTGTCGCTGTGATATCTATGGTGTCTCTTGCGATGCTTACTTTTGATTCCATTTTTCTTATTTTTTTTGTATTTTTCTGGTTTCTTGTAGGAGGGATCAGGCGAGTAAAACGGCATAACTATGACTGGTAGCTTATGCATTGGTCCTACTCCAGGTGGAGGTAGGTTTGGAGGTGGCAGCATCGGTTGCATCATAGCCCCAGGGAAAGCTGGCATTCCAGGAACAGGTATAGGAATTGGAGGTGGTTGACTATCTGGTGGGGGACTCTGGTAAAATGGGGGAAGGAAAGGTGGCATTGTGGGTATTTCCGGCAAATTTGGGAGTTTAGGCAAAGTCGAAACATCAGAATTTGTTGGCATCCGGCAGTGCATTGGGAGGTTTTGGGGTAAAAATTGTATGTTTGTTGGACATAACGGAAGTTCTGGTTCTGCTCCGACCCAGCAAACTAAAATGCAAAATGTCAGTGTTTCGGAAGTATGCATTTTATCTGAAAAGATGGAAGACTGTTTATTAAATTCTACAATTAGCTAATAACACAATTATTGTAATGATTATAATGATAAGTGACTAATAGTAGGCCTTTTGGGTCAAATCATGACATCAAGTAAGTGTGGTGTAGCTACCACTGTTTTAAGTTTTCTGAACAAATATACAAGCGAACAAATTACGTGTACTACAACATAATGCACTTACGAATGCTTCGAACACTCACACAGATTATTAGTATTGGTATGACAGTATTAGTGACCATAGTAGAAGTTGTATTTAATATATTTATATATACTTTTTATAGCCTAGATATATGAACGAAGCGCATGGCCCACCAGGTATTAAGTGGTCATCGGAGCCCATAGACATCAACACCTTGTTACATAAGTTCTAAGTCTCAGATTTTACAGTGCCAGGGCGCCCCACCTTCTAAAGCGGAACGCATTATTGCTTCACGCCAGAAATGGATAGGGTATGTGGGCTCGCAGGACGCCCTACCACCAGCAATTTCGCAAATTAGAATGTTTGCCTGTTTGATTTATATTAAACGNTTAAGTGGTCATCGGAGCCCATAGACATCAACACCTTGTTACATAAGTTCTAAGTCTCAGATTTTACAGTGCCAGGGCGCCCCACCTTCTAAAGCGGAACGCATTATTGCTTCACGCCAGAAATGGATAGGGTATGTGGGCTCGCAGGACGCCCTACCACCAGCAATTTCGCAAATTAGAATGTTTGCCTGTTTGATTTATATTAAACGATGTTGATTTATATTAAACGATGTTATTTCTTTACCGTGGCAATCAATCGTGAACATTTATTTTTAAGTACGTATTTCATTACAATTGGCACCCGCCTACAGGAACGCCGGCACAGTAGTCGTGTCGCTCGCAGGCATTTTTTCGATTCAATCGAAATTTCGATCTCACATGTCGAGATGGGCACCAGTATTTTATTTAGGTATAGATGCCAGCCACTATGTAGACTCTAGTGACTGCTTCATACCTTTCCAAATAACTATGAATTCATTTGTCTATTCACATTAGTAAAAAAATCTGAATTTCATTACCTCATATTCACTCAACTTCAGATCCTAGTACTACTGACTTCAGTTTCAGTTTTAAAAATGATTTCTAATCGGAATCGGTGCTCTTTTGTTAGCTTTTGTGCCGATTAAAAGAGCAGTACAAAAAGACTACATGTGTCACAATGGATTTTATGTAACGAATCAACAGTCATTATTGTTCAATATTCATGCGTCGTTATGTGCTTCCATTGTATATTTTTATTTTTGTCCTTTCGATTACATGAGTGCATTTAAAACAATTTAAAAACTATAACTATAAATTGATTTGATCTCGCGTTTTCATGGACATTTTCATTATGAAAGATATCCGTTTCTTTTTTCACAGATTAAAAATCCTCAAGAAATTAACTAGAGTTTAAACTTTTGCAATATATCTGAAATCATCCAAAAACTTTGGCGTCCATTTTAGACATATATTCGTTCATTAGATTATTTGAAAAGGAAAAAAAAAATCAACAGACTAATTTTAATGATTTTCTTTAATATGGAAAATGTTATCGTAAAGTAATAATGTAATTACACTCAACAATTTCGACTGTTATACGACTAATAAATTGCTCGAAACAATTATTTGAACTTTTTCGTTTTTTTTTCTACATAATTACTACTATCCTCGAGAGGCTATTTCTGTTTCCAAGGAGCGAAAGATTAGAAGTAGACGAGTTCAGCCTGAGAGGCGATTAAGTAGCTTACTAGTTTCATCTTATGCCTTCATTGATATAATATTTTATATTGTGAACTGGTATGATTGGCTGCCACCTGCCTCCACTCCACAGGATAATATAACAGCTACTACATAAGCTAAGGCAGGAAGGAGGGCGGAGTTAGTTCACTGATGTTGTGATACTCCGGTAGCTATTTCTCACAAGGCGGCCGTGAAGAGCACACCTGCGTATTTACTACCATTCGCGCGAATGCTGTGTGTGGCGGTAGCCATCATACCTAGTCAGGTCATAAGTATTGTCACACAGTAAAAACTTTTCTTTTAGAATGCTGGCCACAAAAAAATTTATTGAATTCGAATTTCGAATTGTTCATGAAAATAAAAATGTATACTTTTAGAATTTTACTCATTTTTTAAATATGGAGTGGACGCTTAAAGAAGACCGTGTTGCGGTTATTGCGTTGCATCGTTGCGGTTACGCGCCAATTCAAATTTTTAACATACTGAAAAGTTTGAATATGACCAAAAGATTCGTTTATCGTACCATCAAACGATACAATGAAGACTCTAGTGTAGATGACAGGTCAAGAAGTGGTCGCCCTCGGTCTGTTAGGACTCCAGCAGTGATAAAAGCTGTGAAGGCGCGAATTCAAAGAAATCCCAAACGTAAGCAGAAACTGTTAGCCCTTCAGATGGGGTTAAGCAGAACCACGGTGAAAAGGGTGTTAAATGAAGACTTAGGGCTTCGGGCATATCGAAGAAAAACAGGACATCGTTTGAATGCTCGTCTAATGGACCTGAGACTGAAGAGATGCCGNTGAACAAATATACAAGCGAACAAATTACGTGTACTACAACATAATGCACTTACGAATGCTTCGAACACTCACACAGATTATTAGTATTGGTATGACAGTATTAGTGACCATAGTAGAAGTTGTATTTAATATATTTATATATACTTTTTATAGCCTAGATATATGAACGAAGCGCATGGCCCACCAGGTATTAAGTGGTCATCGGAGCCCATAGACATCAACACCTTGTTACATAAGTTCTAAGTCTCAGATTTTACAGTGCCAGGGCGCCCCACCTTCTAAAGCGGAACGCATTATTGCTTCACGCCAGAAATGGATAGGGTATGTGGGCTCGCAGGACGCCCTACCACCAGCAATTTCGCAAATTAGAATGTTTGCCTGTTTGATTTATATTAAACGTTGTTATTTCTTTACCGTGGCAATCAATCGTGAACATTTATTGTTAAGTACGTATTTCATTACAATTGGCACCCGCCTACAGGAACGCCGGCACAGTAGTCGTGTCGCTCGTAGGCATTTTTTCGATTCAATCGAAATTTCGATCTCACATGTTGAGATGGGCAGCAGTATTTTATTTAAGTATAGATGCCAGCCACTCTGTGGACTCTAGTGACTGCTTCATACCTTTCCAAATAACTATGAATTCATCTGTCTATTCATATTAGTAAAAAAATCTGAATTCCATTACCTCATAATCACTCGACTTCAGATCCTAGTACTACTAACTTCAGTTTCAGTTTTAAAAATGATTTCTAATCGGAATCGGTGCTCTTTTGTTAGCTTTTGTGCCGATTAAAAGAGCAGTACAAAAAGACTACATGTGTCACAATGGATTTTATGTAACGAATGAACAGTCATTATTGTTCAATATTCATGCGTCGTTATGTGCTTCCATTGTATATTTTTATTTTTGTCCTTTCTATTACATGAGTGCATTTAAAACTATTTAAACTATAACTATATAAATAAATTTGATCTCGCGTTTTCATGGACATTTTCATTATGGAAGATATCCGTTCCCTTTTTTCACAGATTAAAAATCCTCAAGAAATTAACTAAAGTATCAACTTTTGCAATATATCTGAAATCATCCAAGGACTTTGGCATCCATTTTAGACATATATTCGTTCGTTAGATTAGTTGAAAAGTAAAAAAATCAACAGACTAATTTTAATTCTTTACTATGGAAAATGTTATCGTAAAGTAATAATGTAATTACACTCAACAATTTCGACTGTTATACGACTAACAAATTGCTCGAAACAATTATTTGAACATTTTCTGCTGGTATGATTGGCTAGCACCTGTCTCCACTCCACAGGATAACACAACCGATATTACATAAGCTTTTGCATAAAGAGGAAGGAGGGCGGAGTTGGTTCATTGATGTTGTGATACTCCGGTAGCTATTTCTCACAAGGCAGCCGTGAAGAGCACACCTGCGTATTTACTACCATTCGCGCGAATGCTGCGTGTGGCGGTAGACATCATACAACGCAAGATATTTTGACAGATGCCTGAATCTCGCTTACGACATTTTCAAGATCAGCTTACATATATACAAGTTCCGACCAAAAACATTCGGACCGTCGGTCTACCGAGCGATATCAACCGCTTGGTGGAAGATCTACCTTTAGTCGTTTAAGCCTCCCCAAACTGTGTGCTTAGTACGAGTTTTTTAACGTTATCGATAGCCTCAAAGTTAACCCAACTTTGTATGCAGTTGGAACAGCGCCCCTAGCGGCAAACGTAGGCAAACGATCCCATTCCATATAAATATGAGTTAACTTTTACGTTATCGAGAACGTTAAAAAACTCGCACTAAGTACACTGGTCCTAATAGTATATAAAGCTAAAAGAACGTGTGCACTGAACAGTTAAACATTGCCTTCCTCGCCTACACGACCGAGTTTAATCAGATTGACTTCAAATATCTTTTCGTGTTAGTTTTCCAGTCGAACAAATTCACGGCGGTAAGAATAAGAAATAATAATTGAATTATAACATGCTTAAAGCGTAATAAACATTGTTGTTTATCGGTCAATAGAATAAACATGCTAAAATCATCATGAAATTTTCGTAATATTTTGTGAAGAGAATCTGTCGGTTTGCTGAATTAATGTTTAACCTCCACTGCACTTAATCATGCATATCAATAATCTATATAAAATATCATTTTTGATTGAATGTTGGAATGCTTGGGTTTTTTGAATAAAACTTCCAAATCGATCTTGAGCTTGAGTTTTCTCTATAGGTACAGGTTTTTCTTATTTTTTAAGTTGCGAAACAAGTTAGCTTGGCACGGCCATTAATTAAGGTGTAATGGTGTAGGTACACATAATGAAAAAATTCAACATTGCTCATTAAAATTTAGTAGGCGTTAACATTACCAGACTTAAATAATAATACTTATGAGCCCATTTTTATAATGTACCTTGCATGAGGCAACGATTATGTCGATGATCTCATGATACAACGTTTTTCGGTTAGATTTAACATTTTTATTGATTACAGATGATCATCCTGGTTCTATTAACAACAATTACGTCCATCAACGCTCAATTCTCCCCAATTCCCGTCCAGTTCCAGATGTCCCAGCCAAACGGAAATCCTTTCCAGTCCCTCGGACCATCTTTATCGCAACAGATGCCCATGCATTTCCCATTTCAACAAAGGCTCCCGGCTGTGGTCATGCCGTATGTACCCAAACATCATAAAAAGACAAGATACCATAGAAGACGTTCCCCAAAAAGAGTAATAGAAGATTCTAACAGTGAATCTTGTTCTGATGAGGACTTTAGAAGATCCAGCAGAGTGCATCGTAGAAGGCAGGTCTTGACACCCGTGATCTCGTACATTACGAAGGATGGAAATGTGGTCTACCAGAAAAAAGTAAAGAGAGAAAGAGCTAGAGATTGGCTTGATATTGGCAGGAATCCGTCGGACCTGGAAAATGAATAACGTGGGCGATTTGAACTCATTAGTCAAGAGAATTTACAGAATGAAGTTCATCTAGAAGAATTATTTTAACGTGAAACCACACAGACGTTGTATATAAAGTACCAGTGTTTAATTCCCATTTTTTTTATTCGATATGTTTCAATATTTTAAATTGTCAGACCTTATTTATTTCATAATTCTTAGACTTTTTGTCCTTTGGCAACGGACAGATGCTTACATCATTTTCTGTCAGTGTCCGCACGGGTAGGTACCACCACCCTGCTTATTTCTATACCTAGTGAAGCAGTAATGCGTTTCCGTTTGAAGAATGGGGCAACCGTTGTAACTATACTGAGACCTTAGAACTTATATCTCAAGTTAGGTGGCGGCATTTACGTTGTAGTTAGATGTCTATGGGCTCCGGTAACCACTTAACACCAGGTGGAGCGTGAGCTCGTCCACCCACCTAAGAAATAAAAATAAAATAAAAAAGAGATTTTTTTAATTACGATATTTATCCATGTCATAGCTTCCTACATGAAAACTCCAAACAATGTCTGACTATAAACAATGACCAAACCGCGTTATATCATGTTCATTAAGAAAGAAACAAAATGACTTCATGAAATAAAGATAACAAACCCTATAAAATCCCTAACTTGACATTCATACTGACATTCACGCTATTAAATCAAACATTAGATTCTTAATTAAAGTTCTCAAAAATAATTTACAAAACTAACCATGCCTAATAGTTTCTTCAAAGTTCTATTATTGTTGAGTGTAATATTGGTCGTGGTAACATTCAATATTTGCATTGATAATTGTGTAAACTGGGATTCAAGCAAAATACATATGAAATCAAATCAAATGAAATATTGGCCGTGGATGCCCGGTTATAAATACGATGACCCTCACTACGTCTGGCCGTTATATTTCAGCGGTTGAACACTGTTAATTTTATTAAAAGCGGTAAAATTTGTTAACAAAATATCTAAATAAAATTTATATGTAAAACAATTAGCGCGTTCTCCATTTTGTTTGCTAATTTAAACTTAGACATAATATTATGTAGGTAAGTCACGCATTTTCTCATTCTTTTTTTAAATCTTGACCGTGTGTTCCAAGTTCGAAATAATGATCCACAACTTAATCTGGATGAACAACAAATAGTTTAATTTTGCATTCAACAAGATGAAAAATGAACACACCGACTTTCCTTTGTTAATATGAGTGTGTAATTTTTATAATTTCATAAGAGTAGAAACCTAGTGAAAACCAATTTCAATTTCCTTCAATTTCTTTTGTTTACCTATTTCGTTGTTGTAAAGTTCTTAGAAGCTGACGTAAACGTCGAATACAAAAAGTTTTTTTTTTTTTTTTGTGATTATTTCCTGTCTTTTCCCATTTATTTTGTGATGATGATATAATATGATGAAATTGACATTCCCGATCCTGCGGACAGAATGGAAAGCAGTCGACGTCGCCCAAAACAAGTCATCTCGGATCCTCCCGATCCACTAACGGTGCTTTTAGGTACTTCAAGCACCGGTCACCGTTCTCGTCGAACTCGTCGCTTGCGACGAAGGGCTCGACGAGTAAATTAACCCTCAGACACAGCCCACTGAGTTTCTCGCCGGATCTTCTCAGTGGGTCGCGTTTCCGATCCGGTGGTAGATTCTGCGAAGCACGGCTCTTGCTAGGGTTCGTGTTAGCATCGTCATCAGGTTTGAGCCCCGTGAGCTCAATAATAACGCTCGATAAAAACGTCATGATTATGGCTAGGAACTTTTTGACGGGTCCGTCATAATGGATATAGTAGAAGTAAGGAACAACATCTCATTGTATAATAAAGTGTTCGCTGAAAGGGAGCAAATTAAGGTAACGCCAATACCGTCTTTACCATAAGGGCACACGGGGCCCGTGCTCAGGGCCCCCATTCTCAGGGGGCCCCGAAAGACCGACAATTTTTCTCACACGCTTATTCTCAAAACATTTTTGTCGAGCACATTACACTTTTTTCACAAATCAGTAATCAGAAGGTATCTACATATACCTACTATGCCTATAATAGAAGATTTTGCTCAACGACATCCCGAAAGAAACCGTTATCGAAATCGTAACCAAAAAACCAGCAGCTTTCTAATATCATTAATGAAATATTAAATCATACTGTATTTGATTACCTATAATAAATGGTCATACTCAGTAAAAAAATGTTATTATAATTCGCTTTTATTACTTTCCAAAAGGGTCTCAAATTCTTGTGTGCCCAAGGGCCCCAGCCTAGTTTAAGACGTCCCTGGGTAACGCCATAATAGCAAGTGGAAAGATCTTAAAAACAGCGCCTTAAACTAACACGCATTACTTCACTCTGCTTAAAACTACTACAACAACTACTACTACTACTACTGCTATATAATTAAACTACCATATTATAATTTCAACTTGATATTCCGTGAGTCTTCCTGAACAGCAAGTTAATGTTTAACTTGCTGTTTAATACAAGTTAATGTTTAACTTGCTGTTTAGGAAGGAAATAAATATAAATATAAATATTTACTAACAATCACGCCACGTTAACTGGTCCCGTGCTAAGTTCGTAAAGAACTTGTGTTACAAGTACCAGATAACGGAAATAAATATAATATTTTTATTATACACATACATATATTTAATATACACCCATAACCCTGGAAAGACATTTATATTTATCATACAAATATCTTCCCTTGGCG